TCATCCATTATATATGATTATATATGATTTCACTATTACACTCCTGTAGTTTTAGTTAAACAGTGCTTTGGTGACTGATATGGTTCACAGTTCCCAATTGTTATATAAATATAAAGTAAAAATAAATACTATAAATATTGTAGTGCTGGGGGTGGTGCTACCCATAAACATTTGCAATTTCTGTATGTTATCTTTTTTCTATTTTTCATTAGTTCTCTTCATTAGAATTTTTTTACGTTTTTATTTTGAGTATGTTGTTTTGTGTTCAAATTCTTTAATTCAGCCTCTATTTACTTTATATTGTCATAAAGTGAAACAGAGTGTCTCATGCTAGGTTCCCCAGTGGCTCATCTGTTTAAGGTTTTGCCCTGTCGTCTGGAGATTGCGAGTGGAGAATCCCAGCGATGGCATGACCAAAAAAGGTCTGAAATATTTTCACAGATACCAATAAATCTACAGGTCATCAATTTGGGCTGATATTACCAGCCAACTGATATATCATACGGTGACCATATGTCGTCTTTTTCTACGTCCAGCCAGGAATTCTAAGTAGTCTAAAATGTGTGGGATTTGGCTTTTTTGCATTTGCATTCTAGTCTGCCTATGTCAGCCTCCTGCACCCAGTGTCCTCTTTTTTCAAAAACCAAAATATCGTCACCCTAAAAATAGATTAAGTCCTAAAATATTTGGTAAAAGTAATTGTTAGATAAAGCTGTTGCACAGATTTTGCAGCCACTAGCAGTAACTAGGCTAGAAGCGTTTGCTAAATGGCTAACTAGGCTACAATGTGACTAATAATTGCAAAATCCACTCTGTAGAGGAAGATGAGAAGATATATAGGAGGTATATAGGAAAGGTAGAAGAGATTTTGAAATGAAAAAGAGATGCATTTAGAGGAAGGATGTCATGAACAGCTGACAGAGAGCAAGGCCTCAGGAGGACATCAACAAAGAGGAAGAGAATGTTTGAAAGAAAAGAGCAAAGGAAGTAAAAAAAATCAACTAGTAAAGTAAGGAAGTGGAAGAGCAACTGAGGAAATGATTAACTCTTTTACATCAGTATCAGCAGTGACGGGGAATCCTCGACCAACAGGATTTGATGAAATATTAATGCTGCAGTGGCAAGACTGTCAAAATGGAAGAAGAGAGAGAGAGAGAAAGAGAAAGAGAGAGAGAGAGAGAATTATTTATAGAAATATTTATAAGCCCACAGCTCATTCCACCATCACAGTGACCTTCAGAAACAGACAAAGATCACATCTTCAAGTTCTGCACCTATACTGTCTTGTTTACCTGTAAGCCAGGACTGTCTGAATTGGGGAGTAATGCACTTTAGTATATGCAAACATTTCAATTATGGAAATAGAAAGAACCCATAGTGTGGAGTTTTCTGTATGCTATACTACACTATGAGTACTCTTGCAAGTCTATCCCCCAGCCCTATATGAAGTTATTTGCTGGATCTATGTCTATTACAGTGTGCTGCGAACACTGTGCTTCTGTAATAAACTATGATGAATGGAACAGTTCACTGTTTGAATCGGCCCACTAGCTCCTCTGTAAGCAATAAGTGATCTCAGAGATGGATGAGGTGTTCGTTCTGCTCTGTGCCTACTGTGTACACAAGACAGCTATCTATATATTATATTGTACAGGTCCAAATGCTTTAATACAGTATGCTTAGTACTTAATATTAAAAAACTTTAAAGATGTTTATTAATTAATCTTTATTAATCTTTAGTGTCATGACACATTACAGGCTTTTTAAATTCACCTCTGGAGATACTGTTCATATATTTGGCGAAAAGAGAAAAACTGGTAATGGATCTGTCCCATTGCTAAAGCTGATGCTCTCTAGGAATAACCCATATTTAATGCTCCTCCTCATGAGTCTCTCTTATTGTGGTGTATATCTGCAGACTTGACCCTGCATTAGACTGCACTGACTTACTGTGTTGTAAATCAAGACTTTGTGTGTGAACTGTGTGAAATATTTCTCTGACCTGTAGGTGAACTCAGCTCTCTGGGCACCCATTCTTAATTATTTCCCACTTTTGCTCTCTTCGTTTCTCATTCATGCACTGAATGTGTGCTGCTACTACAGGCCAGGGTTGCATAAACTGGACAAATCACCATATTGCAGAAATATATTAATACATACAGCGATTTTGTTGCGCCCTGTTTACACAGTTTAGTTTGCATTTGCAAAAAGATTTGCGTTTGTTCAATCATGTGACTGTCTTGATTCACTCAAACTCCCACAGAGGGAACTGTGATTGGTCAGGATGCTCACAACCGGTTCTGAATTACAATAGTGTACTTTTTCCTGAAATTAAGTAGTGTAATGCATTACCGTATGAATTCTTGTTGTCGTATGTGTCTAAGAGAACAACAGTAATTATGCGTGATGAATTCAATTGTAAATTTCCTCTATATACCTGCTATTATCTGTGCCTGCCCTTCTGCATAATTGCTACCTGCAACAGCTGACTGCATGACATTGTTCGGGAGTGTGGGTAGCACAAGAGCAGGAAGCAGCCTGCTTTTATTGTGATTTACATAGCTACATGATTTTTACTTTCTTAATACCCCTCAATTTTAAACAGAGATCGAATTGATTTGGAATCCAAAGTTACTACAGAAGAGGTGACCGAGATGTGCTCCTCTGTGAACTTGTTATGCTTCCATGACACTATATTCTAGTTTTATACATATATATATACATATATATATATATATATATATATGTGTGTGTGTGTGTGTGTGTGTGTGTATGTATATATATACATATATATATATACACACACAGAGAAGAATCCTAGTAAAAAGTACATGAAAAATACTGCACGTGTAAAGTGTAAGAATGAACAAATCTTCTATAATTTTTAATTGTTTTGTGTCAAGTTGTATGAAAATTATGCAACCATCATGCAACTACAAAATTTCACTTTGTAAAGCCAATCTGAAGTCCTGTTCAGACGGGATTAGTTTTACATGGGGAGGTGGGATAATGTAGTTTTTATGGGAATTTCTCAGTGATTTTTGTCTCACTTCAATGCGCCGTGTTTGTCATTTGTTCCAATTGCGCACTCCCACATCAGTAAAGATTCCAGCACCTCTTACTTTCTACTTTGACATATCAGTAAAAACACAATGATATACTGTGGAACAGGAGTTCCTTAAGTATGGAGACACTTGAAGAAGTGTTTACTTCTGTTCTCTGTAGCTAAAATCAAACTAATATGTACTGTCCTACCTCATGTCCTACCTGAAACTCAGAACTTTAAAAGTAACTAGAGTAACTTCCCCAACACTGCTCACAGTGAGTTAAGAGGACTCCTTTGCATATTGCAGACTCCTGTGGTATCAATGTTGCAAAAGACAGTATCACAGTAATGATAAACAAATAATATATTGTGCGACCCAACTCCCAAGTGAGGCAAAACATGTCACAGAATTCTGTTTTAGACCCAATTTTTACATGTCAGCAAGTGAATCTACACTTCAGTCAGTGTGTTGAGTGTGTTAAAGGGTCAGTTCATTTCAGACTGAAATGTCTTCTACTACTATTGTAACCTACATTAAAATAAAGCTTGTATTCTCTCTGGTAGTGAAGGCTTTTTGTCCTTGCAGCCAAGCGACAAAAACACACACATACTCACATACACAAACCACTCTGTGGTCTTTGTTCAGTGCTTTCAAAGATTAAATGTATGCTGTCATGGAGAGGGGAGATCCAGATTAGATCGATTTAAGGACTCCTCTCCTCCTTTCACTTCCAGAGAGTGAGTGGTGTTTGTGAGGAGCACAAAGCCAGCTCTGTCTGCTGTCTGTCCTTTTAGTGCTGTGTCTTGGTCAGTATCTTGAACAGAGTCACTTTGTTGGAAGGCAGAGGGCATGCTGGGATTTGTAGTCTTCTCAAGGATGTGTTTTATGCCATTAAAGTACTGTTTAGTAATCCAATAACATGTCGACAATAAATGTGTTTTATCATCATTTATCTAAAAGGTACATTTAGAGTGAACAAACTGATGAAATATTACCCACCAAATGGATGTAACAGTCAGTAGGTAGTTTCAGTAACAGCAACAGTAATGGTTTTAGCAAACCTAAAAGAACAGAAAGGATTGCCTGCACTAATATTCATCTTCAAACAGAATATTTTAATCACAAACACTGCACAGTCCTCTGACTCATTTTTAATCTGGCAGCTAAGCTAAGAAAAGCTAACTGATCTTAGCTTGTTCTGCAAGGTGTTTTATTGTTAGACATTATATTAAAATTGATGTTAGCAAATACGCTAACTAAGATAAAGTTTAGCTAGTCTTACCTTACAGCTGCTTATTCTGTTTTGATATTGAGCTGTGAGTGTGTTTGTTCCACCTCCAACTATATTTATTGTGGTAGAATCGACTGTAAACAATTATAATTATAAGTTCTAGTAAAGCTATTTTCAAATGTAGTGCACCTTGGGGTACTGGTTTAATTGTCTGTATTCCAGTACTGTGTCAGTAGTTCTTCTAGTCAAATTTCTGCACTCAGTATATTTTTATATAGATAATTCTAAAACCTACTAAAATATTTAGTTCAACTGAATTGCACTGAATTGTTTTAAAAAAATTGCAGTCTTATTAAAATCTGTGTAAAATTTGCACCAAATAGTTTCCTAAAGAATCATAACCAAAATGAATCAGTGTGAAATTTGAGATTTTATGATTCACCGATTAGTTTCCTAAGGTATTGCAAATTGAATGAATGTCGAATTTAAAATTTCATGATGTGCTGAATAGTTTCCTAAAGATTTGCCCTCAAATTGAATCGGTGTGAGATTTTATGATGCATTTAAATATTTCCTAAAGGATCATCATCAAATTAAATCATTGTGAGATTTACACATCATACGTGCTCTGGTCTGTATCAGAGACAAACTAATAATTAATTGATAAATAAGCTTTCTGTCCAGATGCTTAACCCTTGAACTTGTCCTTTGAACTGTTCCAGGTGTTCACCACATACTCTAACGAGGACTATGACCGGCGTAATGATGATGTCGATCCTATGGCGGCATCAGCAGAATATGAGCTGGAAAAGAGAGTGGAGAGACTGGATCTCTTCCCTGTGGAACTGGAAAAAGGTAACACAGAACTGGATTCTGCACAGCCCCACAGAACTTTAGCACTTTCCTTTAGCTTCTGTTTTATGAGCTTTTTTGCTTGAAGAAAGAAATGCTGTTGTGCAATTACATAATTAATGCTTAATACTAATAAGTCTAACACTTCAGTCCCTAATTGCATTAATCCTAAAAGCTCTCTTGTAAACCTTCTTGTATTTTGTAAGTATTTGGCTCTGATTTTACTGATCATCCAAGGCTTTTCATGCAGTGCTGGTTCTCTAATTGCTAATACGTGCACTAAAATAGATAAACTTTAAAAACAGTTGTAGCACAGCTGTTTTCAAACAGGTACCGCTGTATAATGCAAGGCGTAAGAAATAGTCTTGCTGTTTATTTTATTTGTTTTGTTCACTCCTATAACATAAAAATAATTATTTTTCAAAGCTTTCTATGTAAATAATAAGCCTCAGGATGTGAAGCTCAAGCAGTTAAAGCCTTGGGGCCTGTCAGTGTTCCCAAACTTCAATTCCTCACTCTTATAACTACATAACTTACTTTCATAATGCTGAATAATAAGTCTGTTAAATCTAATGTAATATAATAATAATAAGTCCAATATTACACATTGTCATTGATAAAATCAGATACCTTATCACCTTCAACTCATTAATATCCCCCAGGATGTATATTTTCTGTGTTACTGTGTTTTTTATCACTGTGTAAAAGAACTTTATTGTTATACTACCTTTATTGTTGGATGTACTGAGATAGTTTCAGAGACAGCATGTGCACACATTTCCAGTGCAGTTCACCACACTAGTATTAATTTGTTGCATTAGAGCAACGGAATATTCCTTTTCACGTGTTTGTTTATTTAAAATTGTAGTTTGTGACATATAGAAATTAAAATGTATTCATTTATGGCTTTTTTAGATTATTAATTATTTACATATGTGAATAAAAGCAACAACAGAATTGAGAAATCACGTTAAATTAAATCACATTAAACGTAAAGAGTAGATTAAAAGGCAGAAAAGCTGCTATTTAGCCTCTGTATTAAAGGGTTAATGAGTGGTCTTGTCCTATCAGATGGCGACGGTTTGGGGATCAGTATCATCGGAATGGGCGCTGGAGCTGACATGGGCCTGGAGAAGCTTGGAATCTTCGTCAAAACAGTCACAGAGGGAGGAGCTGCTCACCGGGATGGAAGGTCAGAAACGGACTGAAATGAACTATATGGGATTTGAATGGATTTGGCTCAAGCCAAGTAGAATTTGGATGAAATTGACTGGAAAGACTTTTGATGAAATAGCTGTGAGGCTTTTATGTAATAGGGGATTCCCTACATCCATGCGCAATCTCTCAAGGCTATTAGAGCATATGGCTTTATTATATTAGACTTCGCAAGTGATTTAGTATGTTCAGGTCACCAAGGGATCAACAAAGGTGCATCATGCCTGAGGGCAAAGCTGCTGATTTAAAAGTTTGCTTAGCAGTTTTGTATGATGCTAGAGACATTACAAAGGAAGTAGGTGACAGTTGATTGGTATGTCTTGGCCAATTAGCTACGTTTAGGGTGAGAAATTAGCGCTTTACAGAGAACTATTCCTTTAACTATAACTTCTATTTCTGCAGAAATTCAGCTGTTGTGTAAAATGTATTAAGTGTAATAGTGCCAGTGTATTAAACAGCACAGCTGCTGCTGAACACATTTGAGTCAGAGGTTAAGAAGACCTGTTTCAGTTGTTTATTTACAGCTGCACTGACACTTGACCGAGAACCTATTTCCAACTCTGTATTGTTGCAAACGCTCAAAGTACCTCAACAAACGAAAGAGTAAACCACAGAGAAACATTCCCTTCATAACCTGCAGAGCAACGAGAGACCTCATATTTGGTCAACTCAGCTTTATTGGAAAGTTTTAGCTTTAGTATTCGCATAAACATTTTGATGTTTTTGATAATCAGGGTTGTTTTTGCTAGCATTGTAAAGCTAGCAAAATAATCACGTTTTCTTTGGCATAAATCTGAGATTATCTGGTAGCAGTATAGACCCCAAGAGACCTACAGAGCAGAGTTCACACAATGGGATAAGAGGTCAGGTAGAGGTCATGCTCTTTCATTTAAATAATGGGATATCAGATCAGATGCTAGGGTTTACTTATGGCCGCTTCATTTCTGATTACACAACATATATACAGCAGCATATTTTTGCACAATCCCACTTTTTTTGCCAGTTGCCAATATTAAAACCATACATTTAAAACAATGTTCAGAAGTTTTTTGCTTAACTTTTTTTCTTTACTTTGGAAAACTGCCATATAAAAGCAATAGGAAGTCAAGATTGTCTGTTATTGCTAATAACATCATATCTGGGCTGGGTGACATATCAGTATTGATACCACAATGATATTAAATTTTAGTTTTAGCATTATTGATGGATAACAAAAACTAATTTTGGTACTATTCAGACGTGATTAGGTTTACATGGTGAGGTGGAATAATGTCATTATTGCTGGTGTTGCTCTGTGATTTTAGTCCCATCTGAATCTAATCAGCCACGTTGGTCATTTTTACAGACTGGACATTCCTTCTATAAAACAAACTGTAGAAATAACCTCAAATTATATTAATCCCAAACAATTGCCATGTTGGTAAATGAAGGGTTTTGTTGCAACAGTCTCAAGAGTTTTTCGGTTTTTTCATGATGTTGTTGGGAGTGAGCTCTACACATACACATTCCCAAACTAATGGCTATGCCAAAGACACATTGCATTCACCTAAGACAGCTAGATGGTTAGAATAAAATGAAATGCTTGGACATGTTTTGTATTTGTGAGCAGGTTACATTACTCTGCCTCTCCATGTAAAACTAATCCTGTCTAAATAGCACTTTACTTAGCAATGTATACCCAGCATTTGCTAGGTGCTTCAGATGTTTTCGAAGAGGATTTCAAAATGCACACAAACGTAATAAATATTACATTTCCTTTCTGGTTTTGGTCTGATTAATATTTACAATACTTACTTTCCTTTTGATGTAATTTTAAGAGAAGCAGTCCAGCAGTTTAATCAAAATAAGCTTTCATCTTTGTAAGGTTTTCTTTAAGCATGGAGTATCTATGGCACAAGCTGGTAAACCCATGATGTTAATTGCGATAAGACACTTCCTCTCATGTTCTGTTGTTTAAGTAGCACCTAAGAGGTCCTCTTCTGTCAGTCAGCTGTGTGAATGTCCTGACAGGCCGTCTGAACTGTCATAAACAAGGATGAGGGACTGTGGTTGGAGTAACCTGCAGACGAGGCTCTTTAACAGAGACGTTTTATGATAGAGAGGAGGCTGACAGAGGCCATTCATCAGTTTAATGGTCAGGAATTACAGGAGACATTTAGTTAAGATGACTCTTGCCTGAATGTAGCCGTAGTAATTTTTAGGTCAACTGTGTCATTCTTTAGCCATATCACATACCTTCTGTATTTCTTTTAATATATAACACCTCAGTGTGAATTAATGCAGGAGTTAATGCAGTAATGGAACAAGTCAGCAGTTGTGAATCTAATGCATCTGATGCATCTAATGTTCTTATGTCAAATGTATTCTTTGTTGTAAAAGTGAGTGTGTTATTGATAATGAGTGAACAAATGGGTTCATTGGTTCAATGGTATGAAAATAGATTAACATAAATGCAGTAGCAGATTCTGCTTAGTATTTTATCTTACCAGCATCTTTCCTTTTGCTGTCCCCTTCTTTCTTGAACCAGGATCCAGGTGAATGACCTCATAGTGGAGGTAGACGGCACCAGCTTGGTGGGTGTGACTCAGAATTTTGCAGCATCAGTCCTGAGGAACACCACTGGCAAAGTCAAGTAAGCAAATGCTTGAGTAGCTCTACATCGTTTCTGCTCTCACATCATGTGACATCTGATTTTAAACTTAAAGTCTGGTGCAATATGTTATCTGGACAGGCCTTCATTTAGGACTGGCATTTTTAGGGTAAAAGCAGTAATGTAGCTTTGCTTTGAAGTTTATAATGTACATGTATTTAAAGCAGGCACAGATTTGTGCACTCAAGGAGCCTTTGTAATTTGGCTACACGAAGTGAATCTGAGTCTCAGAAGCCAGACCAGCAGACGTCCCTGCAGTTATAAACTCCTGAACAGTTTACTGTGAAATTGAGAGCAAATGGATGGTTGCCACCGAGCAAATGAGAGGTTGCTGGTAATAGGGCTGTACAATATACATAAAATACTAGTACTGTAATTATATTGCTGCTATATGTCGCAATTGCGTTGCATCGTGCAGTATATTAAAACACAATGGTGAATCAGTAATGTGAGATGTTTAACAATTGGCCTGCGTTATTTCGACCAAAATAATGTACTTTTGTTAAATTACATGAATACCTTGATTTATCGCAACACCCACGGAAGAACTTTTCTGGAACTGTGACTATTCTAGGTACTGTAAAAAACAATGGGCCTCATTCACCAACTGATCTTAAGAAGAAATTTCTTCTTAAAACCCACTTACGCAGTTTTCATGAAGATGCTGACATTTACCAATTCATTCTTACTTGGGATTTGTTCTTAGGCAAGAACAAAATCTGCACACACTTAAGAGCACAAAGGTGTGAACAACTCTGCGGTTATTTGAACACGATATTGGTGAATGAGGCCCATTGTTATTGGTTAGAGGGCTCATTTACATATTGCAGCCATCTGTGTTATCAGTATTAAAAAGGCCAACATCACGATAATGGTAACTGTTTAATGCTATTGAATACTATTCAAAGGATTTGCTATTTAATACTATTGAATACTCTCAATACTGTAGTGCTGTTTAATACTATTTAATTGACTTTTTGCTGCATAAAATGTGAGAAGTAGAATAAAAATAAATATAGTCATAGTTTTTGACTAATTTATTTTTTTTAATTTTTGTCTTCTTTTTTCTTTTTTGACTATTCCAACTTCCCACACTTCAGAAATATTTAATATTGTGTTTTGAAGTACTTATTACACAGATGTGTCTGAGTTTTTCTTCTTTATGTGAGCCAGCAAAATACAAAAGTCTAAGGAATCTTTAAAATTCAATGATGATCAATTTACAGCACTTTAGAATTCCACTGACAACAGAATCAGTCTTACACTTCATCACGACGATAAACTGTATCTACCAGAAAGCCTCTCAGGTCTTTTAGAAGCTGTCTTCAGCATTGGTTTATGACAAACATTTCATAGTTGTTTTTGTAGCTTTTGGCTGTGCATAGATTCTAGGTTGTGGTGTTTCGCCAGATAAGCCAAGCCCTCCACACACCAATAATATATACTGTTTGGAAAGAAAATGGATTAAACTGATTACATTTTTTCTGCATCCCCCACCTTGTATTGCATCATGCATTCCTACTTTCATTTGAAGAAGGGGTTGATAGTAACTTATCTTGTGAGCATCAAGAGAGATGCAATTAAAACATGCACTATCATCTCAGACAACTTTATCCTTCATTTTTTTGACTGTGGCTGATGTCTCATGTTTTCCTTTCTGGGTTCATGTTAGCCACCTTAAAACAAGATGTAGTTCAGCTTCATAAGTTTGCAATTAGAAGAGGAGGCAAAACATGCGGTTTTACTTTTACAACCAGAATAAAGTAAGTAATTAAATATGTGAAACAGCCAGAAACGTCTTCCACTACAACAGTACTGTTAAAACCAGCACAACCACCACATATTATGCAGAGGGACAGGCTTAAATTAACACCTATAGAAATGTTCAATTCACCCCCCCCAGCAGACCATTATTCAACCTAAATCTCTGTCCTTGAGCTAGTTTGCTGAGATGAACGCTTCCAGAGCAGCAGGGTTGCTATGTAAGACTGAGCATTTGCATCTTTCACACTGTGCCCTTGCACAAAAAGTACTTGTTAGATTATTATTGGCTTGCAGTGACAGAATATAGATAGATAAGATATAATGTGATATAGTTTTTCTTTGCGCAAAATAATCTAAGTAGATTAGCTTGCAGTATGAGTTGAGAAGTATCCTTCACTATTCTGCTGGTGTTTAGAAAGAATATTCATGCCTGAGGTATGTCAATCACTCTCAACAGTTTTCAGAGTCAGAGACACAGTGTTCAGTGGGCTGTGTCTTCTCATGCATATTCATTAATTACATTGTCACTCAGTTTTTGACCTGAACTAGAAACATGTACAAAACACTCCTGTTTGTCATTCATTCACTGATGCACCCAAAAGCAACAGTGATCAGAGCACAGTGCTAGCCTATTAAGCTAGTTGACAGCACGGATATAAAACTAATTAAAATAAAACATGTAACATGTAATACAATTAATGACATATTTATATTTAATTAATGTGGAAAATATGAGCTGAATTTAAATGCAACTCACAGAGGGCCATGCTTAAGTGTTCGGTTCAATTAGAGCGATCCCTGGTGCGATAGGGTCGATTAGAACGAACCCTGGTGCGATTCCTCTGTTTATGTGGTTTGTTTGAATGCTGCCCTCCAAACTTGGTGCGCATCAAAGAAGCAGGCCAAGACTCTCTGAAGAAGTCAGTCAGACTGTGCTTCCTAAAGGATTTTGCTGTGCTATTTGCTTTACAAGTTTTATAAACGACCACTGAAACGCATGGCATCTTGAGACTTACTGCACTACAATATCACAAGTATTTATTTATTTATTTATTTATTTATTTATTCTCCCCCCCAATTTAGTCATATCCAGCTCCTCTCACTAGTTATCCAATCACACAATACCACCCACCAGTGCCAGGAGGGTGAAGGCAAACAAACACAAGTTTCCTCCGAGTCATGTGAAGCCAGCCACTGTATCTTTTCGAACTGCCAGTTACACAATGTCATTAGACAGCTGAGTGCACTTGGAGGAAAGCGCTAACCACCAGTTCTGTTTCATCAGCTAACAGACGCCTGAACTGGCTAGTATTGCGCACTGATTAAAGGGGGTCATCCTGCCCACCCAGAGAGAGTGGGGCCAATCGGTCTGTCTTGGACTTTACTGACGGCTGTAGCATCACCAGGGATCAGCTCACAATCTCCTGATGATGGAGCCAGTGCTTAGATGGTTGCGCCACACGCTTTAATAAAACCTCTGTGTACTTTCTAATAAACTAATTAATGAAAATTGCATTATAAATAAGTTAGATGTCTATAATGTTGAGAGGCAGAAACCACAAGATAGGCAGATCCAGGCTAATCTTTCAACCAGCCATCATCAAACAAAGGCAGGTAGACGTCAAACTAATGAGGCACATTTGAAAAGATGCCTAAGAATTATATGAAAACAAACCAAACAAGCAGCAGGTTTTAGGATAATGAGTGGGCAGAGTCATAATTATCCAAGGAGATGAGGGGAACTTAGGATTTTCAGCTGCGTAAGATCCACTCATTTATTTTGACAAAACAAAATATCAATCAGCTCTTCAGTGTGAGTTAAATCGGCTCTGACATTCAACAAAAGAAGCCAGCTTGTAACTGGTGGGGTCTTCTTTATTTAATCTCCTTTATAAACAAAAGCTTTCTGTAGCATTTCGTTACCTATAACCCTCCTTTCTAGACATTCACTTGCCCTCTTTATTTTTCTCACAGTTCTCTGTTGATGTTTACATATACTCTATACAAATTAAAATGATATTCTGACAACTGTAAAAAAAAAAAAATCCATATAAGTGTTTCTTTCTTGAATGAGTCTGGTCAGTTGAAGACTCCTCCTGCGCTTTCCTCCCTCCACTGTCCTTTTGGCGTACTGCTTACCCGAGCAGACCCCTACCCCACTGGCTAGAGCGTTGCTTAGCAACATGAGAGACAACCGCCCTGCTGTTCTTCCCACCCATCAAGAGCATGGCCAATAAATCTCATGAACCCCTGGCCATAGGTGACATATGGCCCAGCATTGACTGTAAAAGCACTGCTTTGGCTGGATGAGCCAACCCAGGGGCATTTCTTTCATTTACATAGAAAACCATGTCTCTTCCTGGTTCAGTTTACTGCAGTTTAATGGGCCATGTTAAAACAGCAGGCAGCTGAAATCACAATCTTAGAATCACAATAATTTTATTCACCAACCACAAGATGTATACTTAAGTTCTCTTCTTGCAAATTAGAACATAAATTTCAGTGCAAATTCAGAAAACATGTATATAAAAAATGCACATAAAAGTACATACATTAATGTAACTCCTTTTTTTCTTTTTTAACACCATTTGAGAATGCCAACTGCCCTTTACATTGTGTGTACGTTTCATGATGAATAGAACAATAGACATTGTTCATAATAATGATAATAAAATAATAATAAAAATAATATGTTCCATTTTAGTTACAAATAAATATTTACACAGGAATAATACACAGGATAATGATCTTCCACTAACTGATTCTAGGAGTTTGCAGTAAGCCTGCGTAAGCTCAGGGATGTAGTCTGGACAGGCCATAACACTTCAACAGATCAGTAAGATATTCCAGAGTTAAGCCATTAAGAGCAATAAATGTCATAAGCAAGACCCTCATAGTCAATGATGAACTTAAAGGGAAATTCCACTCCTTTTTTTTAAATTCTGCATAATTAAATTTTTAAGATGTAAACAAAGTTATTCAAAATGGTTTGATGTAAAATGCTCTTAATGGCTGAGCTCTGGAATATCTTACTGATCTGCTGAAGGGTTATGGCCTGTCCAGACTACACCCGTGGGCTTAGGCATGATTTTTAAAAAATTCTGCATAATTAAATGGTTAAGATGTAAACAAGTCATTCAAAGTGATTTGATGTGAAATGCTCTGTTCTTGAGAAACGTACTGAGTAAGAATTGTTCACAGTGGTGGTGATAGGAACCAGACGTCATTGTTTTACGATTCAGTGTTACGCCAAGGTCCTCGACTGTAGTGTTTGATTGCCTTGAGAATCCGGTAAGGTCGGGATAAAAAATGGTTCAAATCACTTGGAACGTACATTACATATATTAATGTTAAGAACATTTTTACCATTTCAGAGACACAAGGATTTGTTATGACAGCAGTTATATACAGTACGTTTAGTTAGCAACAGAAGATGTTAATGTATGGTTAATCACAGAAGAAAGGTATGGTAACTGAATGAAGTCATATTGTAGACTGTTCTCCATTCTTTTGTTTCCATTTTGCTGAGCTGACTGGTTCTTGGTTTTGTGTGTGTGTGTTGCAGGTTTATTATTGGCCGGGAGAAACCAGGGGAGCAGAGCGAGGTTGCGCAGCTGATCCAGCAGACGCTGGAGCAGGAGCGCTGGCAGAGGGAGATGATGGAGCAGCGCTATAATCAGTACATGGAGGAGGACGAAGAGGTCAGCTCACAAGCTCAGCACACTTACACAAACACTTCACAGACACTGTCGAGAACCCTTTCACACACAGACTAAACAAGAACATTAGCAAGAGGCTGAGACCTTGTTCAGCTGAGTAAAAAAACACATCCTGAACACAGGGAGGACACATGGCTGCCAGGACCAAGGACATGTCACAGCCATTGTTAAAGATTGAATATATAATTCAATTCACATAAAGCCTTTTCAGTAAAAGTTATTCATTTTTCACAAGATCATCTGCAAAAAATTTGATATGAGATAATCCACTTGCATAAAGAAGGAGAAAGTCAAAGAAAAATAAGTGAAAAAACAGGAGTTTTATGTATAAACATATATGTAGCTCATGTATAAGACTAACAAACTTTGGAGAGCAAACATGTCTTAGCTGATCAACTACATCTGAGTTTTTTTTTCACCATACTATCACTTTAAGATAATTAGCTCCTTGCATGTCAGTAATATAATCAGGGACTCAGCCACAAGAAGTTGGCCACTATATTTTTTTTAGCATTTTGTTAAGTTAATGGCTTTCCTGCGGGTGAATTTGCCCTAGTTTTTCCCAGGTGACAGGTGTGAATTATTGGTCCTGTACATGCAGTATTCACACCTTCATCCGCCTTGGTATGCTGTCCGGCCAAGCCCTCTCCTCCTCTTCCTCTAGGCCTGACAGCTTTTGGGTGTGAAGGGAAAGTGGTAAATAATTCAGTGGTGGAGGATCAGATGTGACCAGGTTGGACAGGACGCGGGTGTGAAAACAAGCACAGGCTCTTCAGAAAGACAAATACTCTGCATCAAGATCAAAATCAAGAAGAACTTTTTACTGAAAAGTTTAGCACAGAGCCTATTTGTTTTTAGCACTATACAGTATGTCATCTATGTCTTTGTCACAGTAGAAGACTGTATAGTGCTAATAAACAAGACAGTCTAATAGAAATCACTGAATTACAATACACACACTACGCATTGGTGCAAATCTAAGCTCTGAACCTAACAGTAAGTACAGTACCATAAATATTAATAGCACAAGACAATGTGTTAGATTAAGAAATAGTAAGTAGTGTAAAACCTGAGTAGATTAAATGCAAATTATATGTAAACCATAATAACAGCATATCTTGCAGTGTAACCAATAGGCAGCCCAAATTAGATAGCAGCATACTATTATATTATACCAGCAATCTGATGAACAGTCTTTGAGCCCATATGCTTTCATGTTGGAATTGCAAACAGTAAGTAGACTCATTCTGGGCATTTGTCCTGAATGGCCAGATTATAGTCCTGGCAAACATTTGTAATGACTAAGACCACAACATCAAGCCTAGATTATGTTGTGTGATATAAAATACATTGTATTAATTTGATCAAATACCACAGCCTTATGCATTTTAAATATCTCAATATATTTTGTAAGATTAGCTCCAATAGTATACTAAGTGTGTACTGGCTCACTCTACGTGCTACACTAAGATATACTGTCTTCTTATATACTATAATATCTACTATCTACTCGTGTATTAGGTGTGCAATGCATTGTTTTGACCCAAGACCATGGTACATATGCATTTCCAGCACCTTAAAATAATGATCATTTGCATGCATTAGATGTTGTGAAGTTAGCTTCAGCAGCAGCTGTTCACAATACATACTGTCCAGGTAGCACTCTGCTAAGGAACAAACATGTCACGTCTGATTAATCTTAGCCATTTAGTGGGGCTTAGCTTTTGCTTGGTATTTCGCTGCTGTCATTAGAAATGTCTTAACGGCACACAGAAGCGGGCGGCAGGCCTGGAGGGATGTGTTTCTCCTCTCGAGTGTGACGCAGTGCCATGACTCAGAGAGGAAAGCCATTGTGCTTCTGCAGGAGTCCACCAGCTCCTGTCATTACTTAAAGCGGAAGTCTATTGTTTAAAGCCTCAGGAATCACTGCAGGTGGGACTACAGTAACTGAGGTCAACAATAACACTGCAGGTCCGCTCCCTCTAAAATGAAGGGATATGTGTAGTGACGGTGCTCTGTGTTAGTAACCCCTGAGAATCACAGGACAGACATGACACTGTCTTAGCAGGTCCTTATAAGGCCTTTAAAGGATATATTCAATACTGTTTTTGTGTTTGATACAGGAGATAAAAACCAAATTTACACAATTTTCCCTTTAGGCCTACTAGAGTTGATCAGCTAGTCCATATTATAGACACTGCAGGTGCAGAGTCCGATCAAAATGGTGGATGACCACTTGTAGACCACTTATTAACATATCTTGTCCAGCTCTCATAGATGTTCATTTAGCGTCTGCAGAGACTCTGCCATCTTGTGGCCAGTTTTGGAAATGTCACAATGTCACAAATGATTCTATTACACACATCCATAGACTTACTCTCTCAAGCCTGATTTCTACTGACAGAGAGTTTGATGCTTTTCACTGCACAACATGGACGAGAACTGCCTACCTTGTCATGAAGAGGCTGTTTGACTGATGTGCAAAACGACCAACAGCCTGCTTTTTTGGAGAGACATGTAGGTGGAGGCAACTGTAAAAAATCTCAAATATCTTGCTCTGAAAGGCCTATTTTTCAATATAATGTTCGCTATTCACTACTGCAGACTAGAATTCAGCTTTAAAAAAATGTTTCGTGCCCAAATGATTATAACGCTGTGTGGAAAGACTTTTAAGATAGCCAAACAAAATGCAACTGACAAAATGCAGATAATTGTCACCAGCTTTGGGGCCACCACGAGTCACCAGAACAACTTAAATTGGTCTTCATATAGATTCTACAGGTCTCTGTAACTGAACTGGAGGTATTAAACACCATTCTCCCCAAAGATATTTCCTTGCTTGGTCTTTTGATGATGTTGGTGGATGGCATTGTCCAACACATTGTCCAAGATCTCCCACATTTCATAGCATATGATTTACATCATTTTCATAGCCAGCGAAACATTAAGTAACCTCTTGCACCCTGTGGACAGGGCATTTTCAGCTTGGCCGGGACCACTCCAGTTAGGGTAGTAATGTTTCATCATGGGACAAAGCTGATTAGTCAGAATAATTTTAATTTGCTTTTTTTTTATTTTGGACAATTTTGGCAACAAAATGCAACAGCAAAATGCCCTCCCACAGCATAACAAAGCCACCGGCCCCCCTCACTGTAGGGGTCAAGCATTCAGACCTGTATCCTTTTCTTGGTGTACATCACTCCTTATCTCTGTATACCAGTGCATATGATTTTACCACTGAACTCTCAAACGTAAACTGCAACCCCACTGTAATATCATGGTCCTTGTAATTCTCTTGCTGACACAGTCTGATCATGACCTGCCTTGACATTCTCATTCACCTGAGGACCAATTGCTCTTCTGTTTTTCATTAAACTAATGCACACACATCATTGTCAGTGAATGTGTGCTTTCTACTAAGATTTCCAACCATAAATACTAATGTCTTTCCCACAGATTTTAAATGAGATGTCACTTTAGTACCTGTTCCTGTTGAAAGAGTTGAGCAGTCTTTGTGAATTAGGATCCTCCAATCCATGCCTCAGTGATGGAGCCTCTTCCAAAGTCACTTAGAGCTTTTCCTCTTCCCTAAATTTTTTAGGAGAAACAGCATTACATGAAAAGGAAACGAGATGTTTCTCGCACAGATAGAAATGCTAATAATTACATCATCAAAACTGAGAAGGCTGGTAGTTTTGGATGAAAAATAGTTGAGCTCCTGCCTTTAGTTAATTTGCAGATGAACTTGAGTGTTATTATCTCAGCAAAATGTGGTCTTTTGATCAGGAGAAACATCTGAGAAGCAGTAGGCTTGAGCAAACCTCTCCTTTGTCTTTCCATCTGATTTTACTGTTGTCTAGAATAAAGTACAGATAAGAACCCTTTCTGTTTTTTTTTTTTCTTTCTTATGGGTTGTCACCCTTCTGCTAGTCGTAGATCTACAAAAGCTTGAAATTATTGTTCAATCCTTTTTGGCAAAAGAACAATGCATTATGAAATTACTGCTGGACTGGTGACAGCATTGCATAAATTAGAACAATTCTCTGGAACGCAGCCCTGTTCCCACTCACTGCTGATTGCCATGGGTTATTTGTCATCTTTAATGTTGAGAATAAGAGATAGAAGTTGCTGTGAAATGTGTTAGTGTAAGTGAGTTAGAGAATTACCCAGCCAAACCAGGAAGTCACAGATTTCACAATTACACAGAGCACTGGCACCATCCCTCTCACACTGTCTTTTTTCTCTCCTCTTTTGTTTCAGACGGGTGAGTATGCTACAGATGAGGATGAGGAGATGAGCCCCATGTTCCCTAACGCTATCGAGGTATTTGACTTGGCTGAAAATGAGGACATGCTCTCACCCGTGGAGATGGACCCAGAGAAACTCGCCCACAAGTTCAAAGAGGTCAGCAACATGGACGTTCACACTGGGTTCACGTTGCCATTAGTTTGTTTCGGAAGTTGACGTAAAAAAGAACATTTTAGGTGCTAAATCACATTTGAGACAATCATAATAATTTGAGATGATCAGAATTATTTGAGATGTTTACAATTATTTAAGCTGACTGTGATCATTTTCATTTTCTAACATGTTTCTCCCTAGTTAAAGAGATAGGAGCCTTGTCTTGTATGAGTGGAAATTCACCTTTATAATGTCTCTGTTTATGCTCAGGTAGCAAACTTTGTTAGCTAACATCTCTGAAAAACAATGTTCTAATTTAGCAAGGTCGCAGAAAAACTACTGAAACATTTAGTACATTTCACATAGTGTGGACAAAGTGCATTAGTTAGTGTATCGCAGTAAAAACCTTTTTCACAAATTAGTAAACTGCAGCGCCCTTAATTAAAAAAATCATAAAGGTTCTGTTGTTTGGGAACTGTCTCACCCCTCAGCTGAAATAGAGGTTTTGATTGGTTCTACTGCAGTTTGACTCGGGCTGTCCCTGCCTATAGATCAGCAGTCTGTGCAGTTTAGAGAGAGCAGAGATTATTATATTATTATTATTATTTCTTTCTGATAAATTTGAAAATAGTCAAAATCAAAACCAAATCAAATCAAATGCCTGCTCGTCCTTGGGGTTTCGGCAGCCATGCCTGATCCATCAAAACTCTTGATTAGATGAATGAGTTGTGTTAGATTTGGGTTGGAGGTGAAACCTGCAGAAAGGCAGATGTTCAGGAGGATGGTGGACACTGGTATAAATTATTACTATACTTAAGATAACAAAAATTATTAACATGACAAGTGAAACAGTTGAATTGTATTTAGTATGTAGAATGAGATGTGCAGTTTGTATAAGTTAACTGTGATATAGCATATATTTTATAGTCTCTCACATTCACTCTATGTTTTGTCTCCATTGTTCTCTCTCCAGCTCCAGATAAAGCATGCTGTAACCCAGGCTGAGATCAAGCAGCTAAAGCGGAAGGTAAGGACATCAGGGAGCTCAGTATTAAAGTTCACAAAGTTTACAAGTGATAAGGTCTTTAAGAACTGTGTACTCCCCTGTCTCACTCTCTCTTTCTCCACCCCCTCTCTCTTTATCTTTCTCTCTCTCTCACTCTCTCTAGCTGGCTCACGCGGAGCAGGAGAAGCTGCGTTGGCGGATGGAAAAGGCCCAGCTGGAACAGACGGTGCGGGAGACGAAGGAGCGCATGGAAAAGCTGGAAGGCTACTGGATGGAGGCGCAGAGTTTGTGTCAGGCGGTAGATGAGCACCTGAAGGAGACGCAGGCCCAGTACCAGACACTAGAGCGCAAATACAGCAAAGCCAAACGCCTCATCAAAGAGTACCAGCAGAAGTGAGTGTGCAGGGATTGTAGAGACTTTGGCTGCTCCAAATGACATATTGTTAACCATGAGATTTGTAGTTTTGAAATGATACCAATTGACATTGGTCTGTGTGTGTGTGCACGCGCAGAGAGATTGAATATCTTAAGAAGGAGACAGCACAGCGGCGTGCGCAGGAGGAGTCCGAGGCCGGTCGTAAGGAGGAGACAGACAGCCTGCAGGAGAAGGTATAGTAGGACCTAAAAACAGTATGTCAACAAAACATAATTTCTTTCGTGACAGTGCTGAATTAGTTTCCTCTGAGCAAGTATTGCTTTGCAATATGAGTAATATTAATTTGTTGCCAGAAGTAAATTGAGTTTAAATTAGCCCTTCTGTGTTTGTCTGTTTATTTACAACCTCATTTCCAAAAAACTTGGGACGCTGTGCAAAATGTAAATAAAAACAAAATGCAATGATGTGCCAATCATTTAAACCCTATATTTAATTGAAAATAGTACAAAGACAACATATCAAATGTTGAAACTGAGAAATGTTATTGTTTTTTGAAAATTATGTGCCCATTTTGAATTTGATGCCAACAACACGTTCCAAAAAAGTTGGGACGGGGGCAACAAAAGTTGAGTAATGCTAGGACACATCTGGAGGTTAATTGGCAACAGGTCAGTAACATGACTGGGTATAAAAAAGCATCCCAGAGAGGCTGAGTCTTTCAGAAGTAAAGATGAAGAGGGTTCACCACTCTGTGAAAGACTGCATGATCATGTTAATCATTAATGTTTCTCAACATAAAATAGCAAAGAATTTTTGCTTTTCATCATCTACAGTATATAATATCATTAAAAGATTCAGAGAATCTGGAGAAATCTCTGTATGATAAGGACTTTGCCAAAAACCAGTATTTGCTGGCTGTGATCTTTGGGCCCTCAGGCGGCACTGCATTAAAAACAGACATGGTTCTGTACTGGAAATCACTGCGAGGGCTCAGAAACACTTCTGAAAACCACTGTCTGTGAACACAGTTTGTCGCTGCATCCACAAATGCAAGTTAAAACGCAAAGAAGAAACCGTCTAAACAGGATCCAGAAATGCCGCCACCTTCTCTGGGCCCAAAATCATTTAAAATGGACTGAGGGGAAGTGGATAAGTGTCCTGTGGTCTGACAAATCAAACTTGAAATTCTTTTTGGAAATCATGGACACTGTCCTCCGGGCTAAAGACCACTCAGCTTATTATCAGTGCACAGTTCAAAAGCCAGTATTCATGATGGTATAGGGGTGCATTAGTGCACATGGTATGGGTGACGTGCACATCTGTGAAGGCAACATTAATGCTGAACAATATATACGTTTTGGCAACATATGCTGCCATTCAGACAACATCTTTGCTTATTTCAACAAGACAATGTCAATGTTCGGGTGCTAAACTGACCTGCCTGCAGTCCAATCTGTCACCCATTGAAAACATCTGACATATTATGAAATGAAAAATACCACTGTTGTACTGTTGTACAGCTGAAATCCTGTATCAAGCAAGAATGGGAAAACATTTCACTTTTAAAACTACAGCAGTGTCTCATCAGTTCATGCTTACAGAGTGTTGTTAAAAGAAGAAGTGATGAAGCACAGTCCAACTTTTATGGAACATGTTGTTGGCATCAAATTCAAAATTGGCATATATTTTTCAAAAAACAATAAAATTTCTCAGTGTCAACATTTGCTATGTTGTCTTTGTAGTATTTTCCATTAAAAATATGGTTTGCGTGATCTATATATCATTGCATTCTATTTTTATTTACATTCTGTACAGCGTCCCAATTTTTTTGAAAATGGGGTTGTATTTATTTAGTTATTTTTGATAATGCTTCATTTTGATGATCAGTCTTAGATACTTTGTACATGCTCACCATATCCTTAACATTCAACCAAATGTCTATTTATGTTGCCTTTTCCATAATCCTAAACCTAACACTCACTCGAAGCCTGAACCTACATTACCATAACACCTAAACCTAATTATAACTATAACTCTAAGCCAGATGAGCATGAACCACACAATTTTTAGCCCAATTTTGCCCCGATTTCCCCCTTCTTGACCAGTTCCACCATCTGAAGCGATTGACAGTGCAGATAAACTGGTGGTGTGAGAGGTGGAGATGAGTCAGTCATTAGCCTTCTGATCTATCTGTAGTGATAGGGGGTATTCAGTTTTTTTAAAGCATTTTTTTTTTTAAGACTAAAACATGTTCACAAGTCATATAGTGTGAGATGGTTAATGACATAACTGTAACTTAAGCAAAAGCCAATTAAACAGTTAACAGACAGAAAAAAACACTAACCCCCCGCCCTGACCAATTTATGCGGTTCTCTGCTTTATATTTGCACCTACTTTCTGTTCTGTTTAAGTTTATTTACTTTTTAAACATGAACTGGTTTAATGAAAATCTTTAATAAAAATCACACATTCAGTGATATAATACTGAGTAATGCAGCATCTACTGAACACTATTTCACTGTCATTTTAATAGTTGTTAATGCAAACTTGTGCATTTGTGAGCTCTGTTCTGAGAACTGGTACGTCACATTGGACAGTGGGTAAATTACTGTTACATAACAACTTTTTAAGGCTCATTAATAACCTAGTGTTTTAACTTATATATAATAATATTATAAAAAATTTTATTTAATCATTATTGACTTTTAAGCATTGTCATCAGGTTACTTGTCAGTCATTGACCATAACCGTTTACAGCACCTTGTCGCCCAGTCCTACTTACTTTATAATTTTATGTTAGTTTGCCAGTTCACAGCAAAGTCCTCCCCACCTCTTGCTGCAGAACAGAATGACATGAATCCACAGTTTGTGTTTTTGAAGCGGAAAAACACAGACAAGTCAGGTCCGGTTTCAGGTTTGTTTGTGTTACATTATAACAAGATGTTAAGTGTTTATTTTTAGCTGAAGCTTATGTGTCAGGCCCTTCTCTGCCTAGTTCTCTAGTGTGCGCACCCTCACGACAAAAAGATAATACATTCAGTAAAAGCCTGTTAAGTATTAGATGCTCTCAATTTTGTTGTACATGTCCGGCTTTAGTTAACAAGCAAGTAAACAAGCATTTGTAGGTAAGTAAGGGACCATCAGAATATATTTTTTAACTGAAAACTCTGTTTGGAAAATAAACCACAGGAAAAGTCAACTGGATCTTTTTCTCTCCAGAGCACCACACATTATTGAGCTGTAAAGAAGCAGGTTAAGCAAGTTACTGATGTTGTATTTCCTCCTTAGATCACAGACCTGGAGACGAAGGTGGGTGCACTGAAGAGCTCGGAGCCCTCCTAAACCTCCCCCAGGAACAAGAGAGAGGGGGAGAGTGGGAGAAATGCCTTCAACCCCAGCCATCCCTCGCTCCTACGTTTTTCTCTCAAAGGCATGCAACAACGGACGACCAAAAGACTGCAAGAAACGTTAAAGGGATGTTCCTGGGGAGAGGGAGGGGGTGAAAAAGAATTCCATAATGCCTCGCCAGTAAGCCTGGCACAGGCTGCCCACCTCTAGTCCTCATGACAGCCCACATAATGTAGGCCCCAGGATGTTTTTAGTTTCATACAGTATTTGATTTTCTCTCTTTTTAAACGGCCCTCAATAAAAAAGCATTACGCTGCTTCCTCTCAGCAACTCTGCATAGTTCTGTTCAAGTGACCCATGGGTTGACTGGGCGCGGTGCCAACGCGAACAGAAAAGGCGGGGATGAAAGTGAGCGGCAGACTTTTGAGTTTTTCTTTCTGTTTTTTTTTTTGGTGTTCGAACCGCAACAGCAAAATGGTCGCTCTTCTTTGCCCACTGGAATGGAGCCAGGGTTGGTTGTACAGCAGTGATGGAAGAGCTGATGGTGTTTGTATATATTCTTCAGTGTATTTAAAAACGCTTAAGCAATGAGCCAGTGGGAAGAGGGATGGGTAACAGTTAAAATGAACATAAACAAAAGTAGTCCAGTATAAAGCTCAGTTCAAGCTGGATTAGTATTACCTGGGGAGGTACTGTAATTGACGTGAATACTGATGAGATATGTGGATTTAAAGGCTTAAAGAACCTTCACATAATGTAAAGGGTTTCAACTTCAACAAGGTTCTTCACACTCCAAAAACCCCCTTTACAAAAATGGTTCTGTGATGTACCAGCCATTGAAAGTGTTTTAGGGAACCAAATGTGGTTCTTTAAAAGCACTGTGCAAAGAACCTTTGTTGGAACCTTTATTTTTTAAGAGTATTGTATGTACTATAGTAGACGTGTTCCAATCCACCTCAAGCAAATGGAACAACAAAACCTGCTAATAGACACAGCTTTGCTCCGTATTGTTATTGTTATTGAGCTTTGCCCTAATTGTGTAATGCTAATGTGTACTTCCAGTCTATGACCTATCAATCCAGACTGTGATCATTTGTGGAAACTACACAAATACATTTTTCGGTAAAAACGGCCAGTCAAATCCTTTACAGAACCTCCTCTAGTAAAACAAATCCACATCAAATAGTGCTTTAGACTAGCAGGGCAAAGAGGCAGAGTTGTGTATTTCTTTTACGCTTGCTTTTTTTTTGTTAGCAAAAATGGCAAACAGGGTGTGAGACCTGTGCAAGCTTGACATTTAAAATGTAACTTCCAAGATATGCTTACATTTCACACTTTGTTTTCCTTTAGACAGTATTACTGGAGCAGTGTAACGTGATTTGAGGATTTTTTTTTCTCCTGCCAAAAAAAAAACATCACTTGTGCTGCCCCTTCCCTGTGTCTGCAGTTTTGCTTTGGGTTGAGAGCTGAGTTATGTTTCTCATGCTGATTGTGGTGCTTACGGTAACGTTGTATATGGGAAACTAAAGCATGAGTCCTCAGGTTTGGTTCCTGCAAAGCTCATATGAACCTTTGAAGCAGTCAGTACAGCCCAGCAACAGCTTACTGCAAACATGAGAAATCCTTCATGAGTAAAACCCTATTGAAGCTGGATTAGATTTACCTTGGGATGTACTTTCACTCAAGTGACTACTGACAAGATCAGTGATTTTAATCCAGTATGAATCTGCTGTTTCTATAGTCTGACAGTAATAATTCTGAAATAAATGCCCTTCTGTAATCGGCTGAATCCGGAGATCCCTCAGTAATAACAGACCTGTTCTGACCCACTAATTGAAAATGATACTCCTGATCCTGATGTTTCTTTTTAAGAAACCATTCTCACCTGAAAATATTGATACTGTTTTCAGCAATAAACTGCATATCTGTCTTTTTATGAAATTGAATGTCTTTGATGCTAAAAATTATTGTAGCAAATAATTTTGTAGGATAGGAACTACTTTCCCTTATTTATTTATTTTACTGGACTAAACAGTCAGTTTATGTGGCAGTTTATTTAATTCAAAAGCAAATGTATTTTTGAAGTTTTACTGGTTTTCACATTAAAAATCACAAAATGAATTCCCTTAAAACTTAAAACAAGAGATGGCATGATGCTACTTTCTTTTTCCTGATACCAATACTGTTAAAAAACAAAACAGACATGGCGCCAGGCATGTAACATTGATGGCTATATCTGCCCTGCAATGTTTCAGTCCATTCTGTCTGTGGTAATTTGGCAAATCAGCCAGTCAAATCCCTTACAAATTACATTACAGAGCCTCCTCTGGTGAAACAAATCCAGCTTGGATAGTGCTTTAGTCACTTCAGCAGAGGCTGTGTATCACAGGCCTTATTGTTATTCGGTTTCATCCTTTTTCCTTCTCAGTCACAGTCTTGCACAGTCCTTTTCCCACAGGCAGATGAGATACTGGTCGTATACTGTGCATTTAAGCACAGGAAGTGTCTCTCATTATTGAGAGAATTACAGACACTGTAATGTCATTTCACCACTGCATTCAATATGCCATTAGAGAGAGGCAGTGGCTGTAGTTCTCTGTGCTGAAATTGATCCAGGAGCAGTTTCCTTTTAAATCCTAACCTTAAACACAGAGAAAGGGAGACTCTGGCCTCAGATGAGTTTAAGATGGTGGCCCTGAATGCACACTGCTGTCTTTTTGCCTTTACTTATGTGTTGTTGGTGACTGTTTCTGTGAATCTGGAAGGCCTTACAGTTATCTTCTCTGAAGTTTTACAATAGTGAAAACTGGAGTTTGGGTAAAGAATTAAATACAGCTTTTGGGCAGATAGCTGATCTAGAACCAGCTCCTCATATTAAAAGCAAAATGTTAAACTGGTCTCAGGTCAGTATTGAAGGATCTTTCCAGGATTTTTAAAACTAAATGCATGCTCTTTACTGTAATAGAAAAAATGTATAATGGCAAAGCTGCTGCAGTTGTATTTGGTAATTTTCGAAACCCAGCAGTGGAATAACTAGCACCAACCCATTACAGAGAAAAACATACATTTAGTTTCAAAAATACCAGCGTTATCCTCTAAGGACAGCACCCCACAAAACCCAGTAGTGGCCCTTCAGAGTCTGATGGAGATGAGCACCATCTCTGGATGCAATAAGAAAGAGAGTCTACTGTCTGTAAATCTTTGTTCTGGAAAACATTTTAAATTTCTGTTAAAGTATTAACTTTCCATTCTGGAAGGACAGTATTAGTTTGGGCAGATCTAATAAGTGGCTGTAGTTTTGATGGCTTTCTAAGATGTGTGATTTAATTCAATCCATTGCTTCCACTTGGTATGTTTTGTGATGGCAAAAAAATGTCTCTTACAGTGCAGTATTGAAAATGGAGTCTGGGGTTTTATCCGACCTTTTAACAAATATTTTAGTGATACGACAATATATCACCGGCGACAATATATGATGAGCTTTGTTAATGTCAGTAGAATATAAAGAGTTTTTTAATGTGTTTAACTAGAACTCGTTCATTTTGGTTTATTTCTGGGTTCAACTTTGATTCGCAGTATGTGCCGTTTCACATGGTGTGCAGCAAGAACCATAATACAGCACATCCCTAAGCACATCTCAGATACTCTGGTCACTCCTAACACTGTGATAGTCCACAGGGTCCATCTGTATGAAACATCCCAGCTGACCTACGCTTATATAATCTTATTCATCACAACATGGCCAGCAAAACTCATCCTAAAACAGCGCTCTTACTCTTGAGAAATGTGATACGTGCGGACAACCCCTGAACTACCTCAGGTTTTTTTCTCCCTGCTCATCTGAATATTTTTGCACATAGACAGGAGGGCAAAGCATTGTTGATAACTGGAAAACATAAATGCATTGATGGACTCAGACGCAATTTAGGCAGTGTGTTTTGTTTTAGAGACAGAGTGAGCGTGACGGACCCCTATTAAAATGATATTGTTATATCTTGTCGATATATTCCAAAATGTGCATGGAATATATCAGCGCTGTCATAACAAAACTTCCTATTGCATAATGGACAACTTTCAGGGAGGAGGAAAAAATTGTTAACTTCTTATTGCATATAATGTTGGACCATTTCTTTTGTTGATCACACAATGTAATGGGTAGCTGGTATTTTCAAATGGTGTTTATATTTACATATATGGAGAAGACTGGGGCTATGAGGATTTGATACGACAGCGATGTTATATTTCCAATATATTACTTTCAGCAAGTGTCAGCTTGTTCCTGTTCCAGCTGTATTTACTGGTTTGTTTGACTGTTCATACTCTGCTGTCTCTAAGTTGGCTGTGCCAGTATAGCCAGATTCTGGACCTTTGATCACTCCACTCAGGTTGAATGACCTTAAGGCAGCAGTATTCAAAAATGGACCAAATACATTGAACATATACAGCTCTTTTTTTGTGATTGCTTCATTGTGCATGCAACTGACTGCATCTCAAGGGAAACAACACAGCGGAGGAGACTGGATCAGCTGGATAAATATCAGGAACTGTAAACTGGACTTACATTAATACACTTCCCATGAAAATGTAACATATTTAAAAATAATTTACAACATATTTAATTCACATTCAGTAATGCATTGATAGCAAATCCTAATATATTCCATTTTATATGGGTTTGCAGTGATAGGATTGTCAGCTCTGGGTTCTGGCACAGGGACAACATTCATTATGTGCATCAGTATCTGGGGGTCATATGTGTCATAGAGTAAGAGTGCTTCATTTGGGTCAGCTTTTGGCTTTTGATGAATATGATTATCCATACAGGGATCCGATCCTATTTGAGAACTTTCGATGGATGGACTAGTTAGGATCTGAGCAGGAGGAACACTGGCAGACTGAAAGATGTTTTGTTTCCAAGCTGGACGGCAGGACGAGGAAAATGTTGAGTGATTATCAGAATGGTGAAACACTGACTGATCAAACTTTTTAATCTTACATTCCATTCGACTTGCTTCGCAGACGCTGTAGCCTTTGATGAGATTTGCTTGTTTCTGTGTACAGAGAGGAACTCAGTTCTGCTCATGCTGGTATAAGAGTTTTACACTCGTTTTACGTGAACTAAAACTTGACTCCATTCCTTCTCTATTAACTTTTTTTTTTTTTACCCGTCTTGAGTTGCAATCATATGAATGAAAGAAAAAAGTTCCATTTGAAAGATGCCTCATGTTCATCTTGCATAAGTTACTGTCATTAACAATAAATACAGAAATGTGTCGAACAGTGGGGCAAATGTGCTGTTTTTTGTGTATTAAGCTTTATATTAAGCATGCTATGATAATTATGCATAGCAGCCACAGTTGTATGCAAAAGTTTGGACACTCCTGGTCAAAGGAGTTGCTTTGTTGATTTTCTGTGTATATAAGTTAGCAGATTCTCACCAGGGGACAAACTTAAATACAACATTTTTCTGCAAATTTATCGCAGTTTGTTTATTTGCTGAGGTTAACATATATATATATATATATATATATATATATATATATATATATATATATATATATATATATACACACATACAAGCAATGTTTTCTATTTTATTTTTTCCCCTTAAAATTGTGCAGAAGTGTGTTCTCTGTAGAGGATGTGTTCTTTTCACTTTGGAAATCAGGGATGTTTGATTCATACTTTTGCATACAACCGTATCGCTATTTTGTGACTCACTGTATTTTTATTATTGTGTTATTGTGGTCATCACTGGTTTCTATGCAATAGCCCTAATGACTAGATCTAGAAGGTTTGCCAAAGATCATCTTGCCTAAGTTAATATAAAATTACTGGTATGACTGAATACAGTAATACAGTTTAAAGAGCACAACAGCAGCTATTAATAAACCAATACGCCACAAGAGGCAGTGGCCTCAAGTGCTCCCCACAGAGCGCACTACGTAGGAATTTAAATACTGGATCCGGCACCCCAGGGTGCAAAATATAGCTAAGAAATAGGCATTTTGGACTCAGACACATCTATACTCGATAAATGATGCACTACGTGGTTGTAGAGGCTAGAATTTCAAAATTCATAGCGTGGGTTTGACACACTCCTGACTGAAACACGAACACTTGAAGTGTGTAATCCATTCAAGTGATATTTTTAGGCTTTTATACTGCCGTTTTACAGTTAATCATACCTTAAGTGCTTTAATTCAAGCCTGTGATATTAATGACGGAGTTGTTCTTTTAGTCTGTTAGCCAACTGACCAGCCTACTTCTAGTTAAAAACATAAGTTGCCAGCCGCTCAGTTTAAACAAAAAAACGGGTTCTTACTTCATGAAAATACTCGGTGATCCACACGAGCAGCAAGAGAGTCACAGATTAATCCTTTAACAGCACAAGGGTTTTTTTCGTGCCGTGGCGTAGTAATACACAGTTCAGTTGTTGTGAAGCGGTCATAGGTCTGAGTATAAACCACTGTAGTCGTGTCCTCATTTTGTAGTCGGCGCCACGCTTTATTCCCGTATTAGTAACTCCGGGTCTTAAGCTCCATTTCTCTATGGCCAGAATGAATAGGGTTTTCGAAAAATCGCCTCTATCACCCCCTGTGTTAATTAAAATGTTCAGAACCCGATACGCTTTATCCTGTGTACATTTTTCTCTCGAATAACACTGGATCCTCCGAATTACGAGGTCGTTAAAGAGCTATAATACTAATATTGCTACATGTGAGCTAAAGCTACTGCGCATCAGTTTGATGTCACTAAACTACACGAAATTAAGGCGAGCTGTGCTACCTCATCAAAATGTTCCACCGTAGCGCATAATTACAGGTAACGTTATACCCGTAAATAAAACCTCTGGGCAGGATATTTTGATAGGCTAAAAGTCCTCATCAAAAATAATAAGACAATATACTGACCTGTTATTTCGGTGAAACACCAAAAATAATTTAATGTTACTCAGCTGTTAAGCGGAAATAGAGAAACCTCCTCATATCATGCCTTTCAACCCTCCATGAAGCTGAAGTCGGCTTCTTTTTTGCCACCTTAAATGGCGCAGCGGTTCAGAAGGTGACTGCTGCACCATTTAAGGTGGAACGGGAACAGACGAACAAAAAGCTGGCGAATGTCTCGAGAAAATGTATTCAGAAAAATGTTACCAGCATTAAAATAATAATTAGGATATTCTGATAGCCGAAATCACGGGGTGTGTACTGGATTAGCTTGCTTAAGGAGGCTGCCAGGCTAATGGCGTGAATTCAGCGCGCAGTAGCATTGTTAGTTCACATGTAGCAATATTCATATTTCAACTCTTTAACGACCTCGTAATTCAGAGGATCCAGTGGCATTCGGGAGAAAAATGTACACAGAACAAAACGTATCGGGTTCTGAACATTTTTATTTAACACAGGGAGCGATAGAGGCGATTTTTCGAAAAACCCATTTATTCTGGCCATAGAGAAATGGAGCTTAGACCCGGAGTTCCTAATATGGGCATAAAGAGGACTACAGAATGACGCATGACTACAAGGGTCTATATTTTACAGCGGCTTTTAATGCGCGGCTCAGCCAATCAGATTTTAGGACCAGAACTATCCGTTTTATAAATAGCATTTAAAACTGATATTCTTAACAAAAAAATTCTCTCCAACACACACACACACTTTGACTCATGAGCTCATCAGAAGAGGCTTTATTTTAGATGCGTTTTTGTTTCAGATGGAGAAGGGGCGGAGCAGCGCCTCCCTCTACCCCGCCTACTTCCCCGCCTCACTGGACATGTCTGAGTTTCAGAGGAGCGCACTGTAAACACGGACTTCTGTACAAAAACCAAAAACAACACCCAGAGATCGTAGTTTACCCGCTTTTAAAAAAACTAAAAACAAATTCCAACTAAACCTAATACATGCTGTACAATTCATCAATCGCAGATAGAAAACAAAACAAAACAAAAAAAAACAACCAAAGAAATGCAACAAAACAAGAAGATATATACAAGTCATCCACTATGGATAGGAACAAAATCTAAATTGCAATGCAACAAAACCAAGAAGATATGCTGTACAATTTTTTTCATTGCGGACATTAGACTCGGTCTCAATCTTAGTTTTTAAAATGTACACATACGTTTTTTTCCTCAGATTTACAAAACAAATATTCTTCTTGAGTGTCCATCTCGTAGCTCATACATAAAATAGAGTCTTCATATTTATTTAGCTATTTACATGGCGTATGTACATTGAGGCTTCGCAGACCAGCCTCAGCAAAGGGCTCTGACCCAGGAGGAAATCCTGAGAGTCGCATCCAAGATGAGCCACCTCACACGGAACGGGCAGCAGCAGTCAGTTTGTCCCTGTGGCCATCTGAGACCAGTTTTGCCTTATAGCTTATGACGGTTTAGCAAAGGATTTGGGATGAAATGTGATTCGGAGTAGATTAACAGGTTAACATATACAAATTGTTCAAAGTCCTAGTTGTGTTATGTAAATACAAATTAACCAATGAGTCAATCGATTAATCAAGTAATTGAGAGCAGATCAACAGGCATGTAACTTATTAATATACTGGAAGTTGTTCAACTACTAGTTCAAAAGGAGTAGGTTGTAAACAAACAGTTAAATGAATGAATTATTAGTTAATCACTGTATCAATTACAATCTTAATTAAAAGCTAAGGCATTTGACTGTAATTTGTAAGAGTTTGATTTGTAACAGGTTAAAAAAGCATAAACACTTCTCATATACAGCTAGAATGAATGCTGAGCCTGCCTTATCTTACAGGGCTTACTTGAGAAGTTTAGCACTTGATAAGTGTGCATTAACTCTTAGTGCACAAATGAAAAGGGCAAGTAGTCTAGGGCTGAGGGACTGACAGAAATTGCTGCATGAAGGAGCCAGTCTTGGATTAGAGACTTTAATTTATACTTTTAAATTAAATCATGGCTGAGAGTGTCTGTTTAACACAGAGCTAAGGGGGGGGTTGTACAGTAAGTGCCTCTGTTGGCTGAGTTGGAGGGAAGGAAATAAGGGGATTGGGTAAAGTTCAAGAGGTCAGATTGTCTTATGTTGTAGTGGGTCTTTAGTGTGAGGTAAAAGAGGTGAAGTCGAGACGCAGTCAATGTCTCTGAAGCTTCTGGAGGAAACGCAGGAGTGGCGGGATTCGCTCTGATCACCTGATCCGCTATGATCGCACTTGGTTCAGTTGGGCAGTGCAAACTGAACAGAGCTTGCAGATACAATAAAAAGCAAAAGATGCAAAAGAAAGAAGGTAAACGAGGGCAGATGTAGCCCATCAATGTTCAGGAAACTCTTGTTCACACTGATGCACAACACTGTGGATCGATGCAGACAGATATCTTATTAATAGAGCGGGTGGTAATGTAAGATATGAACAAAGGTGCTCTATAACATTCAGCTCTGTCTGAATGTTTCACAGCATCCTGAAGGTGTCCAGACTAATAGCAGCAAGTATTCCTGCTATTCCTCCATTGTCACTGAGTTAAGGGCCAATCCAGCAGTCCAGCTGTGACGGAGCAGCAGAGACAGAGCGAATGGAGCTTCCAGATTGGTCAAAGTGCAGATCAGGGGGCGGGGTTTATGTAGAAGAGGGAGGGGCTTTGAAGGTGTGGATGGGAGATGATTGGCCCCATTACATGTCTTTGGGCTCCAGCTTGCAGGACATTTCAAAAAGCAGGTTCTGATTGTCGATGACCTGCAACTGCCGCACATACGCCTTTGTCTGGAGGTGAGAGGGGGAGGGCTCTGCGTCCATAACTGTGAGAGAGAGAGAGAGAAAAAGAAGGCAGGAGATTCATTAAATAGAAGAACTATAACCATAAATGTACAACTACAGTTCAAATGTTTGGCATCACGTCATTTTTTCAAATAAATTTACTTTTTTTTGTAGACTTCCTACCATCCTACTAATTACTTGAAACCTGTAAAGTTAGTGTATTAAAAAGGCCACAATATTAGAATTGTTTATAACAACATCAACAATGATAATTGTAATAATGGTAACACTTTGTTTGGATGGGCCATTGTAGATGCTTTGTTTCTGTTCAGCATATCTTTAACATTTAACGAAATCTATTCATTGCAACTGAACTTAAAGTTGCACATGAAAGATTCCATTAAAAACATAACCCTAACCTCAAGGCAAAACCTACACCTACTTCTAAACCTAACCCTAACTCAAATGTTGTTGATAATCAACTGAGCATCACCAGACTGTGTAATAATACACATATCTGTAGATCATCTACAGGGGACCATCCAAATAAAGTGTGACCCCTTACACAAGAATACAGTGTTGCTGGTGTTGTCCAAAGCCTTCCTATCTCCATTTTTTGCTGTTTTTCTTTTTTTCTTGATTGAAGGTTGAAAATGTCCCACCAAGACCACCAGACAGCAGTGAATGAGCTATGCGCCACACCAGCAGGTGGCACTACTTAACCTCTGAGTGATGCACCTGTAATGACTAGGAATACTCAGTCTCACCACATGGTGGTGATGTTGACTCTTCTGTTTCAACACACACACACAGGTCCAACTGACTGCATGAGCTCAGCATCCGTTTCTAAGACACGCTCAGAGAGAGAGAACGGGCTGTGGCTGAGAGGAACGATGAAGGGAGCTATGAATAGCTTCACATTGTCCTCCCCTCGTCTGCTAAAAAATACCTCTGCAAATCCACCTCTGCATCAGCCCCCATTCAGACTGCACATACACTCACATGAGGTTTGGTCACAAGTCAGCTACTTCAGAAGCTGCTGATTTACCTTATTCAAATGTGACTAAAATGTATGAGATACATTTAGAAGATACATTTTAAACCTGGACTCAGATCAGAATGAAAAGCTCATTCAGCGTTCCCCAACGCAGCAGTTCCCCAAAGCAGCAGCAAATTTCCCCTTCTTTGCTTGTGGTCAGCAAGTGCACATTATAGAGGTGATTACAGTGCTATTAACTCCCACATCTGAGTCACATTTGAAAGTTCAAGCTCACCGAGGGTGAGATACAGTTTGGAAGTGCCATAGCTGTCTGAAATGTCAATGGCCACAATTGCAGGCTTTTGACCAGTCTAATTGATGCTCTCTGACTTCCTTGCATCAATAACGTGCTATCAGCGGGTGCTGAAAATGTTGCTTGAAGTGGGCTAGTATGGCAAGGTACCAATCCCCATGAGTGCCACAGAATGCCAACATTCAGTCATGCATATCTTACAAAACCGAAAGTGTAATAAGTGTAATACGGCTACGACCAATCTGAGCCTGAGAACTCTGACTTTGATACCAATATTAAGTGTAATGACACAAAGCATGAACCAAAACAATACTATTAGGGGTGCAGCCACTGGGTTTTATGACTGAATTGCGATTTCTTTAGCACCAAATCAGCCAGTCTTTGTTAGCAGGGCTTGACATTAAGCTTTTTCAGGGACTTGTCTGAAGGCCAAAATCCCTTGTCCACAGAAGAATGTTCTCTATAGAAAATTAAGATTATCATAAAAAAAACAAAATTATAACATATTGTGTGAGTGAGCTGTGTAGTTGGGCAATTACTTCTCAGCTTACTTCTTTGCGAGCTACTTTGGCAGGTGCTTCCCAACCAAATTGGGGTATGCACGACAGGTAAGGCAAAAACATCCCTTGTTCTTCATTCCAATGGACAAACAGAAAAGTGTTAATGCTGAGCCATGGTTAGCCAAAGTAGTTTTTTAACGCAACAGGCAATAAAGGCAATTAATGTTACATGTGTTTATATTTTACCAATGAGCGCGCATACACAGTGGGTAGCCCTACCACGCAGATGGACGTGCACACATAACATTCAAAAGTAGCACACGTGTACACATTATTTATGAAATCAAATTGTAAGACATATCAGCCAAAATAAAAATAAATCACCTACACAGATAATCTGGTTAGAAGCAAATCTTGCCTCACTTTAATACTGGCTGGTTTCTGTGATGCACCCAAGTTACTGTGGTAAAAGGTACAGTAACAATGCCACAAGTGGTAGATTCAGTACACAGGAAAAGCACTTTTTAATTCTTTGTAGCAGTAGTCAGCCAGATGGTTAGCCAAGCTGATGCTACTGCCTTTAGGGGACTTGCAACACCTTGTGAATACTAGTTTTGTTGTGTCTGATGGCTGGATGTCTTGATTAGAAAGCATGGCAAAACCTCACTCCATGACTTTATGTTTTCACAGTTTTACTCTGTTCTTTTTTCTTTTTTTTGTTTTCTTTTTTTTTTGGTGCTTGAGCAAGTGGCCCATGTCAGTTCCCTGCCTCTCTCTGCTCATCCATCAATTTGAGTCTTCAACAGGCAGGCTACAAATTCACTGTAGTGTTAGCCTATTTGAAAAAGAACTGAAAGATTATTTGTTTACCATGCTGTAATTTTTCAAAAAGGCACAGAACTTAAAATATATTGTGAAACTCCGGAGCAAACAGTATTCATGTCTGTGCTAGACTGGAAGTGACTGCCTTGCTAAATTACCAGCAGTTCCCTTAATGAAAAGCAATAAGTATAATCCACTCAGGTGGATGAAGTGGGGGAGCACTCCAATAATTAAGCCAAAAGAACACTGTGCCCAGTCAGAGGTATAAGGCATTAATGAGGACGAATAAATAGAATCAGGCAGGTTCTCAGAAAGAAATGAAGTTTAGACCTAAACTAAGCTATGCAGCATTTGAAAAGATCATTGCTGTAAGACAACAAAAAGCTTCATGTGGAGAAAGCAAAACTATTCTTAATTTAGTATCCTAAGTTAATATCTAGGTTACAACACTGACGCTGGAGAAAAAACGATCAGCGTTTGTGGGACCGATACCATTCGCCAATCGTCGTTTAGCACGATCGTCTGATAGCTGATACTGATCGAGAGCGGAGCTGGATGCCACATAGGCGCAGTAAGCGATTCTGGAGAATGAATGTCGATATTTGGACTGAGACACCCACCACCCCCCACCTCAACCCAAAAAAAAAAAGGACGCAAATTGCTAAGGCGAACAACACTTGTTAGATTTTCGAGGCCAAAAACATCACATCACTGTTGTACAGACAAATACCAACATATAATATCAAAGCAAACAATGACACAGCTTGTAATGTAACTAACTTTAGCTAGGTTGTGGGTTACCAGCAAAGCTAACTAGTTGCTATCACAAACATTAGCAACGAGACAAAACAATACTACTGGTTCTGTGAAAAAAAATAAGTTAATGTTACCTTTGTCAAACAGAAATAGACAAAGAGTCTTTTTTTTCGCCAGTTAAAATTTTAAAATTTTAAATGTTAAAATTTTCTCATTCCACATTACATGGTGCAACATTTACATTCTGGTGCCTCGGGCTGGCGCAACCTTTGAAATAACTGGAGCCTTCGCAACCGGTTGAGCTAAGAGGATAAAAGAGTCCTTGTGCTTTAAGGATGGGCTTTTAAATAGGCAATAAGAAAGGGCTGACAATCGCTTTTGGAGCTCTGCGTCTTAATTTTATTTTCTGCCCCAGCCAAAGCAGTAGGTTATTAAGCTAGTGCAGCGTACGCTAAGATTAGTACTCAGATGCTAGCTAATGTGCTAACAGAAATGAATCATCAAAGCTTTGTTAACAAACACACAGTGAGTTTACAGTGAAATAGGAGCCAAATGTGTAATGCTATGGTTCAATATTTTCAACTAGTGAAATTGATATGACGAGGCTGAAGTTGGCTGCCTATTTGTTCTTGTTCAAATTTTCCCGTTCCACCATAAATGCTGCATCAGGTACATTCTGGCGCCTCAGGTGAAATAAGCCTTATATGTTTTATGTCACTTATCTGCTATTAGGTTCGGCTAAGTTAGAGAAATACCGGCTGATACCGATACACAGCCGTTTGATCTTTCATTTCTAACTGACACTATACTGAATTTGTTAGGATTTGAGCAATATGATCCATTAAACAACTGCAAACCCGCATCCAGTTCAATGCAACGAGAGTTATCCACTGCAAAGACAAATTGCAATAATTTGTCTGGTTCTCATTTAACATTTGTTTGCTGTCTTGTTTACTGTCACAGCAGACCCGCTCACCCTTCTACCAAACATAGCCCTCTATTATTAATGTGTTTCATTAAATAGTGGAAGGAGCACATCCCACCGTCTGTCTAAAGTGGCAAAACATAAAACAGACTTCAGGATCTGATTCACAGTGTTAGCCTGACTTACAAACCATATGACCCAGAACAGATTACAGTATTCAGACTTAAACTAACTACATTTTGAATGAAACCAATCATCATCTTGGACATTAACTATTTGGATTAGAAAGGTGCTGTTTGGAGAACTGGATTACGCAGTTTTTATTCTAAATACCTGAAATCACAGCTGTTCTGTTGTGTTGCAGCAGATGATTTAAGAGAGATTTAAGATTAAAAGGTTTTGGTGATGCTAATAACAGCCTCTAAACCTTGAGAGGACCTCCATGGATATATTCTGAAAGGAAATATTTACTATGGGTGTGACCATACAAAGGGTCATTATGGTGCAGTGGGCAGATTCAGCAGACGGTGTGACGCTGTGGGCGCTGATGACTAGTTTCGACATTTCTGCCAGCGGTGATGTCATGGTTGCCATGGCGCCTCTGCTATTGTTTGTCTGATTGGTTTGATTTCAAACAATGATACGAGAGTCGGAAATAAAGGTATTGGAAGCCACGCAGCTGCTCCAGATGCAAATTGCTCCTTCAGGCTTATCTAGGAATAGCTTCCTTTTACTAAATCCCACAATTAAGCATTACAAAAGAAAGCTGGAGAAAGGCATCTAAATTCAACCACAGAGCAGAACACCCAGAGTCACAAGAAATAGATAATGCTAGGAGTTACTGATGCTCTTGTATCAGATATGTGTGACAGCTGTACTCAAATCATCTGTGTGTGCATGCTAATGTATTAACTATGAGTGTGTTCATGTGTGTGTACGTGTGTGTTTTGAAGGACTGCCTGCAGTTTTTCTGGCCCTGAGGGCTGTGCTGTTCAAAACAGATGGGATGTGGCAGGGTGGAGCAGAGCTCCTCCAAAATTAATCCACTCAGACAGGTGTGTGTGTGTGTGTGTATGTCTGGGTACGTGAGCGTGTGTGGATGTGTGTGTGTTTGTGTGTGTGTGTGTGTGCAGGTGTGTACATATTTTGGTGGGTGGAGTCTTCTACCTTTTGCAGTAATTCTTTCTGACAGGCTTGAATCTGTCTTTGAGTGTGTGTGTGTGTGTGTGTGTGTGTGTGTGTGTGTGTGTGTGTGTGTGTGTGTGTGTGTGTGTGTAAAATCCTACCTAGCTGAGTACTCCTGTACCGCCTGATGCTCCGTACCATCTCTGCCACTTTATGCTGTGAGAAGAAAAGGAAAAAAATTCCAAAACGTTCAAGACATTGTGCCTTCTCACAAAATACTAGAGACATTCTGCTTCATCAATTATGATATAAGTACAAATTACTGCATGCAGATAAGTTATATGTGTGCAAGTTGTGTGCATGTTTGTATGTGTGTGACAGAGTGTTTGTTTTTCCTTTTTGACTCTGTAGGAAAATCAGACTAGTAATCTACCTTAGCAGGACTAGCGAGTTGGTCCTGACAAGATAACATGCTTTTACAAAATGTTTCATTCTTTAAAACTGATGTTGCAAACCATTTCTAGTTGCTAACATTAAGGTTGGGTTTTGAAACTCAACCTTGAAATTCATATACATATTAGGGCTGTAACTAACAATTACTCTAATCTGTTTTTTTTTTCTGCATAACTGACTAATCAAACAATTATGTTCATGTTTGTGAGCATCACTGTTGCGATTCTGTGAAATGCTACCTCCACTTCTGCATAGTGTGAATTGCGTGGTGTGACTTTTACGGGTCTTGTTTTCCTGACTTCGTCTCACTTAGATGCTGCTATCATTCAGCAACAAATGAGCTTTTTTATGATGTTACGAGACGATAGAAGCCAAATGGCCACTGTCTGAATAGCGTGTATAGAAATCTGTCAGAACGGTGAATATGTGAACAATATATGGTACTTTTTTCCAGTAAACGATGTATCTAAAGCCCTACCACAATATTTTTTACAATCGATGTAGCCCATTTTGTTGACCAATTATTGCAGCCTTAATATATAGAGACGTTAACATATATAATACATAAGGGACATATATGGGACCCCATGTGCTGATGTTGTATATAAACAAAAATTGTGTATGTGTGCAAGTTATGTAGTAAAATTTACTTGACTAAAATGTGTACGATTTCAACATGAAGAAAATAACACCAACAAAGCTTTGCCAAATAAAGCAAAAGGCAAAACTGTGTTGATGTAAAATGTTATTTATGTTATATATACATTAGAATAAAGTAAATTCAATGCATAGGTTTTCCAGGTTGTGTGTGTTTGTGTTTGTGTGTGTGTATATGCGTGTGTGTACACAAACAGATCTTGACACTCACCATCTTCTCAAAATTAACCAGCTCCCCATGGAAGGTCTTACAGCTCTCATGAAGGAAGGTCAGGTCTGCAGAGAGAAAGGAGGGATTACGGTTAAAGGAATGGTTATGTAATGACATGTCAGCACTTGCTTAGCCGTGCGGCTACTCCCCTGCAGAGCATCAGCATGGCACTCACACACCAGATGAAAAGAGAGAGAGAGGGAGAGGGAGAGGAGGGAGACAGAGGAGGCTGGGCAGGTTTGATGGCTGCAGGGAGACTCAGCAGGCCGTGGTGTCTCTTCAGCATGACTACGTTCTTCAACTGCAGGCGTGAAAACAGGAAGGTGAGACAGAACACGCTGAAACAAGATGCTGCATGCCATTAGCAGAAAGACTCTGAATACAGGTGGTTCATTAGAGGAAGTATGGGGTGGAGGGTTGGAGGTTTTGCACGCAGACAGAAAGGTCATTCAGGTTATAGGTAACCTCATGACCCTGCGAGGCCAGAGGTGGTAAACAAGCATTAAAAATGCAATGCTGAGTCATAAAAACAAGCCCAGCAAGTTCCCAAAAGACCAAAATATCTGGAACAGCCACCAATAATTTAACAGCATCATCTGAGGGTGACTGCACAGGACACTCCAGAGAACACCAATTTCTGAAGGGGCAACTGATGTTTCTACTGATGTTGTCTAATCAAGACAGGACACTTTATCATGCACTTGCAACATTTTTAAATATGTTACCCTGTGATTAATATTAACAAACCAGGGATTTTAAAATGCACTGATGCAGTTCAACTGCTTTTATATATAATTATAATAACATTTAATAAAATAAATGCTCATTTTGGATACAAACTACATTCTCTGTTGTACCAAAACTCAGACTGAATCATTCTGTGCTGACATTTGAGATTTCATGATGCGTTGAATAGTTTCTTAAAGAATCCTAAATTATTAGAATGAGTGTCCCTGTATATCCCTTTATAAATGTGTGTCTAGATGCCATAAAGTTTACACAAAACCTGAGCTTTGTCAATAAACTGATTACACACACAGACACACACATTTCTCTGCAGCTGTCTTTTACCGCTCACCACCTCTGTTATGTAACAAAGAATTAATGGAATATCTGAAGGCTGCTGTCGAGGTCTGCTCTCCAATGCAAGCTGGGTCAATTTTTCACATACAACAGACTCTAGGTCTAGTTTGCTTTCTAATGAGTTATTGTTTTTAAGGAACATACATACTTATTATGTTTTTTTTTTTTTCAAATTTTCTACACATTTAAATTATGAACAACAAAGTGGTTTGATCTGAAAAGTGCCATTGTTACAGAATCAAAAATTCTTCATTACGGCGATAATGAGAACCAGACATTTGAAGTGTTTAATGCCTCTAAAAGCTACAACACAGAAAGCTATTACACAAAAACCATGATATCTGAGACATTGTTATATGATAGCTCTGAGAGAAGGTTTTGGCCCAGAATGTATTTTTTAAAATCCATTCATGGTGGAGAGGTACATGCACGGCAATGTCATAAAGTATAGCTCCGAAGTTTTGTGGAGAAGAAAGTGCCCCTGACTTAAAGCGTGGATGAAGTTCGTAGCTGCTTCTTAAGCTCACTCAAAGAGTGTTTTTTGCAGTAGCAGCAGTAGCGAGAGAATAGCAGGACGAACGGTACAGTTGACCACAGGACGGTGGATGCTGTTCATTGTCAGGTACAATCAGCAATTTCAAAAAATATATTGAAAATGAAGATTATTACTGTATTACAGGTGTGTAAAATACCACTTTATCCCAGCGTGCATTTTCTGTTGATCAGCTCAAACTTTTAGTAACAAAACAAAACACTGTAAAATCCTGTCTGAGATACTTCACCTCTGTTAACGTTAGTGTGTTCGAGTAGATCGAGCAGGTCGGGTTTCAAATTTAGCAATACCAGTTGGGCCTGTTCAAGTCGGGTCTCAAAGACACGGGTCTGGATTGGGCTTCAATTTAATGTCCGTGCACTCCTCTAGGCTGCTGACCACTAACACAGTTGTTCTCAGTCTGCACTCCCTCACACTCCTTCAGCTTTCTCCGCTTCATTACTAACGCAAGTGTAACCATGCCAGAACAGTGAAACAACGTCTGGCTTGACTTACAGTCAGCCGATGTGTCAGCTTTAAAGAGCTACTGAAGGAACAATTTGTTGAAAAAGCAAATATACACAACTGTCCCCATACAAAACATGTATAGTGTCTGTAGTTTGACTCTTTAGATTAGTACTAAAGCTATGAGGCTAAAGGATGTAGCATAGTTAAAACAGTAACAGCATCCATCTTCAAGCTTGAATTTCACCCAGTACTTGTCCATTTTTACGATAACCACTAAAGCAAATTAGCTTAAAATTTCGCAACAACTTAAGTGGTTTAGGGCGAGTGTGATGATGACAGTACACAATCTGCATGATGCTTATTGGCTTCCATTACTTGTTAGCTATATCACCCTCACAGCTCGAGAGCAAAACTAAAGAAACAAACTTTGGACACTAAACATACCTTGGCTGATCAAATACATTTGGGCTAAGAGGAATTTTCTTTTTTGCTGAACTATTCCTTTAAAAGGTTACATGTAGGTCACACTGATACGATAAGAGAACACACAGCACCAAAACAATAACCAAACAACAATGTTAGTGCAGAGTACAGTGTACACAGCCTGCATTTTCAACCAGTGTAATGTCAGAGCCTGAACGAAACACTGTGCTGTTGTCAGCGCTGATCAGCTCTGATTAGAGTTTGATGCTAGAGCTGTACTGACAGCGTTCTGGAGAAGAGTCAGAAGGAGCTGAAGGGGAGGTGAAATGAGGCAGAGAGAGAGAGAGAGAAAGAGAGATGGAAAGGGAAAAAAGCAGCAAAGTCACATTACAAAGAGAAGAGGCAAAAAAAGGAAAGAAGTGGTTTGATTGATGGGAAGGTGGCAGCTTGGCTGTGTAAGGGTCAGTGTAAAAGATGGAGAACGAAGTGCACAGCAAGAGAGAAGGAGGAGTGGAAGTAAAACTCAAGCACCAGAAATAAGAGGTACCTGGAAATATGTGTGTGTAAATGGCATTCATGCACGTAGTAAAGCACGTTGTGTATGTGTACCGAATCACAGTGTGAGCACAGCAAACACTAGAGTGTGTGTGAGTGTTTGTGCAACCAATGGTTTGGTAACTCTAGTTTTTCAAAATCTTTCCAATAAATAAGCATATTTATTAATTAGTTTGCAATAAATTATCAAATTAAACAGAAATTTGTTTTGCATTTTTCTTTGCCAAAAGGTGCATTCTGTGCACTGGTGTGATGTCAGCACTCATTAGCACTCAGGTTTCAGGTGTTCAAATATTATGTGCTTTTAACAATTGTTTGGAAAAGAAACCACTTGAATCTTCATTAGGCAAAACCTACCCTTCATATCAACAAAGACATTTGATGGACCAGAAGCTATTGGTTGCAAATGATGCCCTAAGTATTAATAGCATTAACAAGTATTAGTAAATAACTGTTTTATGTTAACCAAACCTTTGTAGATATTCTGAACTTTATTACTGAGCAACATTTTTCTAAACATACTCTGGATATTATTACTACAATTTTTAACGATTTTGCATAACTGAATCATTAAGATGTAAAAAGTAATCCAGAGTGGTTTGATTTGAAATGCGCCACTCTAGAGAAACATACCAAGTCAGAACTGTTCACAGTGGTGGTGATACAAAACAGATGTCTGAAGAGTCTGTAAAAGCTCCCACACAGAAACTCATTACATGAAATGGTTATGAATACTGTCTGATGCCTGATTATTTTTACGATATGTTTAAAAATCGTATTTTTTCAGATTTGCCTATATTTTAGCACACTTAACATTACAGATAAAAATTTAGAAGATACATGTAGGTTCACTGATCATTTTGGACAGTATAATTGTATAATTTTGGACAGACATTGTGAGCCCTGGATTCTATCACCACCACTGAAAAAAAAACAGTTTCTCCACACTACACCATTTCATATCAAACACTATGAATGCCTTTGTTTACATCTCAGTGACTAAACAGTGCAGCAATTTTGAACAATCATTAAAATTTACCTTTAATGAGAGGTTCAGAAGAGTCTCTTCAGCAGTGTAGCTATTTAAGGTTTGCTTGATTGTCAGAATGTAATTGAAATGAATTTAATACCTAACTGAATTGTTAAAAGATTGAATCAATGCACTCAATTCAACACAGACACAATATTTTTATAGCATTAAAATAACTGACATTACTGGAACATTGTGTCTGTTCTAACTTATCTAACCACAGAACAACAAAATATTATGATACGTATTATATATCACAAAAATACTGAAAAGCAACAGTGATAGATCTGAAGATATTATAGGTAGACAAGATGTCCCCAAACTTTTTAAGGGCAGTACAAGTGGTAGCCATGCATGTAGTATGTCCATCACATCACAGTGTGTGCATTATAAAGAGAAGGGTGGTGTGTGTGTGCGTGTGTGTTGTGTGTGCTGTAGCAGTAGCGGCCACTGTGAGGAGAAACGTGCAAGAGCAGAGTGCGTATTAGGCCAGAGGGGAGGGCGTCCGGACTCCTGCCTGCACAGTGAGCGGAGAACAGAAGGGTGTTGATTAGCCTAGTGGGGCCTCTTAGCCTGCTTTATAATCAGGCGGCAGCAGGACGGACGCAGCAGGAGCGCGCTTTATGGGAACACATCTGGACAGCAGCTGCACAGGGATTACTGAGGCAGGACCGCAGAGCTTCTGGACTACTGCTGCATGTGTGCACTTATAGTTGATGTGCTTCTGTAATGCACACAGTATATAATATGTACTGCATGAGTGTCTGTGTGATATATAACATATGCATGTATATGAATCAGTAATGTGCATATATACTTGTAAGTGCTCATCACAGTAATGGGATATTTGGAGTAATGTTTGAATTTCAATACCACTTTTCAATTAAGCAAAAATGTCTGCAAAATATCTTTTCTTGGCAGATAACACATTTGTATTGAAACCTTGAAAATCGACCAATGCCAATCTGATAATTCTTGTTAAAAAATGCTAAGCTTTAAAATGAGCCATATAAGTCACATATCAGACATGTAACCAAACACTAATAGGTGCTTACAGACTGAAACTGCATTCTTAATGAGCTCACATACTCATGCAAAATAAATCTCAGTGCCTCCAACAATATAAGAAGCCTTGTGCATCTTTTATACACTGACAGAAAACATTATAGCACATAGAATGCTCCGGTTTTAACATACTGATATGTTTCAAAGCAGCCAACGTGGACATGCATATGCTGTAACTCCTTTGGCAGCAGATTTACTGCTAAGAGCACATACTGAAAATCTTTTGGCCCAAAGGTGGTTTAACCCTTTAGGGCTGATACAAAAAATTGCTATTTCTGCCATTTAATCTACTCTTTTAATCTAGTCCATCCAACAATATAGGAAGCCTCCTGCATATTTTATATAGAGATAGAAGAAACAGAAATCTCCAGATCTGCACACCGATATGTTGCATTTTGGCCAACATTGATGTGCACATGCTGTAACTTCTTCAATGTCAGATTTAAACTAGTTAAAGATGCTATTGTCAAATTCTCAGAATGGGTTGCCAATAAGGTGGTAAAAGGTAATCAAAGGTGACAAAACATGTTCATTAGTATTAAAAACATTTTGACAAGCATGATGTCCACAAACATTCCACAGGCAGTGTCAATGTGTGTGCACGTGTGTTTTTAGGGGGCTTACCTTTGAGCAGCAGTGGGGTGAACGGGATGAGCGGGGCCCTCAGACTAGCTAGCAGGTCCCTGTATGACTTGTGGTTCCTGGAGGGGTCCTGAGTCACAAACAAGCACGCACAATGTTAGAAATAGGGTCATTCTAAGCCAATGTGCGTAAACTCAGTGTGATATATGATGACTCAGAAAACTCACTGCAATGCTCTCAAACTGCTGGAACTGCTTCCGGAACTTTCCTGGCAAGCCCTGGCAAATGAAAAGTCACACTTAATGTCCACTTTTAATTAAAAAAAAAAAAAAAAAAACATACATCTTTCACAGCTAAAACGAAAAAAAGTGTATGTAATGTGAGCGGTATGTAGAGAGATGAAGCAGTACATGTCAGTTGGCAGTGAAATAAAAAGGTGGGCTTGGGAAGTGTTTCCTTTTGAAAGGTGCTGCTTAGTCAGTTCCGTTGCCATGACAACAGCTAATAGGCCGCTGCCAGGAATAACACTCAGCTCTTACCAAACGAAAGGAGGCAAAACAGTGTGTGTGAGTGCGTGTAGGCGTGTGTCTGCATGTGTGTGTCTATTCAGGCAAGGGAGTGAGAAAAAGAGAAAGACAAAATGAGTGAGAGTGCAAGAGAGACAGCTGGTGTGTGAGCGTGACAGATCTAGAGAGAGAGAGAGCTGAGAGAGACAGACAGCACTGAGAGAAAGAGGGAGACAGAAAGGGAGAAAGATATAAAACCAGAAAGCAATGAGTGAACAGAAAGAAAAATAGAGAGAGAGACAGAGAGACAAAAAGAGAGAGAGCTGACCTCCCAGGTAAGGCGCAGGCGGCTAACTGCAGGGTTGTCCAGCCCCAGAACGACAGCAAGGAAAGACAGCAGGTCCTGCTGCTGCTTACACCTATAACATACCCAACATAGTCCATTAACACATGGGTTAAAAACCTAACATCTAATAATAATAGGAATAGTGCTTCAACAGTGTCTCGGGTATTAGGGAAAAAAAATAAAGTTATTCAAATAAAAAGACTGCAGCTATGTATTGCAGCCTGTGGCCGTGGAGCACAAACAGTGCACAACATTCCACACTTCATTTTTCAGCGGTTCTAGCATATCATCTAGTATTAACAGTACATCATGTCCCACTTCATTTTCCACTGTGAACACACTATTCTTCTTTTTCTTCTTCTTATTATTATTAGCATTTTTATTACTATTATGTGCTGTGAAGGCAATTGCATATGGAAGTCAATTCCATATAGATCAGTTCTCTTTGAATACTCTTTCGACGCACTCATAACCATCAGATTTATTTGCTCAAAGAGGATCAAAGCACAAAATGTTGTTCTGCATGTCGTGTGCAACTACAGATTCACATTTTCACCAGAAATGTCTCCAAACCCCCATTCATTGTTTCCATATATCTTGTTGCTGGTCGTTCTCTTCTTATTTTACCTTAAACTGTCCCAAGAATTGGAGTAATAATTGTCTATTCCAATTAATTGGTTCATAATATGCCCAAAATAGGATTTTAGTTTGGTTCTCTGGAGATTTAGATGAGAGATGAGACTGGATTCGGTCAGAAATTGTTTGTTGCCTTTGCTTTCACCAAAGTTTAAAGGCATCAATAATTTTCCTGTCTAACTTTTTTACTGGCCAGTTCACATCCATAAACACCGACAGAAAAGAACACAGCCCAGACAGTTCTGATCTTTGTTTGTAGAGACACACCTTTGCATTTGAAGATCAAATGACCACACTGTCCACGCTAAAATCAGAATTATCCAATTTGAGACACAGGGTTACACTAATGATTGTACATCTCCTGCTTTACTCTGAATTAGCCAATTAAAATTTGTTCAATGTGTAAGACAGTCTAGCCAAATATACTTAACACACCCACAAATATGGAAATACATGTGCTTGCACACACACAGGTACTCACAGAGCTGCTATCTTGATAAACTTGCGCAACAGCTGCACCCTTTTTGGCAGTGACTGGCACTGCAGAATCTCCGTGGCGACCCAGTGCTGCACTTCACTGCATCGCTGCAGTACCAGCTCCAGGTTGAGGGGGCGCCAGCGAGCCTGCTCCCCATGGAACACGTAACACACAAACTCCACCTGTGCAAACACACACAACCAAAAACATAAAGTTCACATTGTCAGCTGCTTTTTTGTGACCAATTAATTAGTCGTCCTGTTATATTTCAAGATACAGAGATCATACACAGGAGCACTTTTTCCCTTATAAAGCAACAAGGCAACAACAGAATAGCAGACAGATAAATGGCTAATAATAGAACAAAAGAACAGGAAATTAACAAGCAAATAAAATTTTAACAATTATTTATTTATCCAATCCAATGGTATTTTTGAGAACAATGAGGGGGGACACACAGAGAGAATAAGAGAGAGAGAGATAGAGATAGAGAGAAAGTACCCAAAAATGCCAAAATGACTAACGATTAGTTACTAGTGACTACAGTCAGTGACAGTGACTCAATATCTACACTGAGCTGTAAATGTGTTTTCTAACCTCATGCACACAGCTGAACAGCTCCCAGTCAAACACCACCAGCTGGTTGGCCACTTCCTCCGCACTCATGTCGTGAAGTTTGCTGTCCCCCGGTGACCAATGAATCTCCTCAGGGAGGGGCATCTAATGGACATACAAACAGGAGGTGAGAAGCCTGGGGCTCTCCTAACAGCCACTCGTTTTTGCAGGCCAAGCCAAACTTCATGGTTTCACCTGCGTTATCTTATTCTTATCAGCATAGCAATCACTCACTGTCTGCCTCCCTGACTGATGATTATTGGAAAGGAATGTGTTAAGACTGAAAATCACAGGACATTCCAAGCATTTAGCCTAGCAGTGACAAACAGATATGCAATATCAGATCCTTTAGCACCAGAGTGTACCTCAATCCTTTAACTCCAGATAAGTTTCTGAACTTCTGACGTATGGCACTTTCTTATCAGTCCTTTATTTTGATGCAGTATGGTTTTAAAGAAGGGGGTGGCACGGTGGCGCAGTGGGTAGCGCTGTTGCCTCACAGCAAGAAGGGCCTGGGTTTGATTCCCAGCCGGGCGACCAGGGTCGTTTCTGTGTGGAGTTTGCATGTTCTCCCCGTGTCTGCGTGGGTTTCCTCCGGGTACTCCGGTTTCCTCCCACAGTCCAAAAACATGCAGTCAGGCCAATTGGACGTGCTAAATTGCCCCTAGGTGTGAGTGAGTGTGTGAATGTGTATGTTTGTCTGTCTGCCCTGCGACGGACTGGCGACCTGTCCAGGGTGTATCCTGCCTTCCGCCCAATGACAGCTGGGATAGGCTCCAGCACCCCACCGCGACCCAGAAGGATAAGCGGTTTAGATGATGGATGGATGGATGGATGGATGGTTTTAAAGAAATAGTTTAACCAAAATACCAACAACCCTAATAAGATGTCAAAGGCCCCAAACAGTGTACAGTAAGCTGCATGAAGTTAATTAGACCTAATGAGTGGCCTTCACTCAACTAAATTAGCATGTGATCTGCTTTTGACATCTGCCGTTGCACTGCAGGCCAAATGTATGGAAGCAAGTAGTGATTTTTCAATTTCGAAGTCAATCTGCAAAACAATATGTTTACTGTCCTCTAGTTTAACTTTATGTTCAAAAAGTTTTTCCACTGTTTTCCAGTTACGAACTCTTAATTTAACCTTTTTATGGGTAAAAAACCTTCACACTCTTTGTGGATAACAGTTCCTTAGACTGACCTATTTTTAATTTTTTTCAAACTCCTAATTTAACACACCTGATTCAGTTAATCAAGCCTTCAAAAGCATCTAAATGGGAAAATCAGATGGATATGATTAGAGCTGCAATAAAACCCTGCAGGATAATCACTGGGAGCAAAACAAATTAAGAATCAGTTAGTTGTATTCTACTGCTACAGACATTTAGTGAAACCCCTTTGCAAATCAAATCAGGATTACTTTACAACGTTAGTGTTGCCTGCAGTGTACGGTGTGTCTGATTTTGGTTGAACTACTCTTTTAAGCGAGTTGCTGCAGAGGCGGCACTGTTTCCCCCTCACAGTATCCCATGCCCATGGCGCTTCTCACCAGGCTCTCCAGCTCCGAGGGCTCGCAGGCAAACAGGTGGGTGTTGACACCCAGGGTGGTGAAGACGGCCTCATCGCTGGGACGAAACACGGCCTTCTCTGCGCAAAAACATACACAAGCACAGATTGCAACAGGGTGTTAATGTGGAATACGCAAGTTCAACCCACGCTGATTCGCGTACCTACAACACATCCCACCTACGTTCTACTGCCTGCAAGGGCATGCTTGTGTCATCAGCTGTATTTCTACATGCAAAACAACAACACAGTGGGATTCCTGAACATCATCTCAGGACAACTAGTTGCAATGAATTAATGCCTAATGCAACTTTAGTCGCTTGAAACTAACACAAAACTAAATTGTACTTGAGCTACATAATGCAAACCATCCTGAAACTCTGTCACAAAAGTTGCAAATGTCAGAACTTCATAAATTATGTTTAATGAAACAGCCAGTCAAAATGCTGATAACAAATCATGTGATCATTTCAAATGATACCACTTCAAAGATTGATTTCACTTGATCCATGGACTGGAAACTAAAACAGAATATGGTTATTGGATGGGAGAAATGGAGATCCTCCTGATCAATTTTCTGCAAAGTTAGTAGTTTTTCATTTTGTAAGTTTCCTGAGCCATGACTGCAAAAAAAGTTTCTCTGAGACAGTGCTTCTGTACACAACTGGTCACTGGTTGGTAACACACAGCTGTAAAAGTGGCTGCTTAGGCCAACATTTATTCTCAAATAGCCTGTTGTTATCGTGACCTACGTAGTTCAATTATTAATTGTGCTCCTTAAAGAACTTCTTGTGTTTCTAAGACGAGCAAGACAGTACAATGGTTACGTTTAACATTCATTTTTCAAAAGGCTTAACATATGCAAAACAGATTAATACATAGTAAAGAACCCTACATAGATAAAAGACAGATATATAGACAACGACAGCTAGAACAATTAATGTTTTATGAGGGTTGTAGAATCCACCACATGAATGATGTTGTATAGCAAGAAGAATACAGTATATATGAAAGTATTGTTAACTACTGGAGTAATCAAATGTGTTGCTTTGATTGTTTTTTTTTTATTGCATCATGTAACTGTCAAGTTGCATAGAAATTATGCATGAACATTTCACTGTATAAACCAGCCTTAAACTGTAGGTTTATTGTTCACTTCATAATCAAAGGCTTATGATTCAGCAAGTACAGTAAATGGTCACGTAAATACCATTAAGCTATATGTAAGTTATATAGTTATGAGAGTGAGCTCACACACTGGCTTTTGCAGTTTTAGAAGTTATAGTATGGTTGTATGGTACATGCATCTGTACACATCTGTCTGTCTGGCAATGTGAGCTATGTTACCTCCAGAAGAAGTGACTGCCACCAGTATGAGGTTAGCGGGCTGGGTAGGCTGATCTTCACTGTACTGCAACTTCTCCCGCACCAGGGCCAAAATCTCTCCCACGCGGCATGACAAGCGACTGCGGATGGTCACATACGAGTGGTCTGGTGTATACACCCTGCAAAAGACTAGAAACAGATGCATTAAGTGTTAGAAGTCCCAGTTATCACCAATGATAGCAAAAGCATGCTGCAACTTTATATCAAACGGAACAAGTGGAGAAATTCTGTCGAAAATGTAGATTCTAAACTTCCAACTTTCAATCGATAACATTTTTGTGTTAATAAGTAGAAGAGATATTTCACATTTAAATTTCATATTTGATAATTTTTTTGCAGTGTTTCGACAACAAAACAAACAGAAAAAACACAGACTCAAAGCTGTTGATACATAATGTAAATTTAACTCATTACACAACAATGTGGTTACATCTAAGTAGTTAAATAACTTAAATGTATGACAAAACAACATAAAAAAATCTTGGCCTCTAAGAGTTAATGTCTTCATTACATTATTGAAAAAGTGCAATGAGAAGAAAAGAAACTGAGCATCTTTTATCTGGATTCTTTTTTCAGCCACTAAGAACAGTTCAAAAGAAACTCATTTTTGATCGATACATTGACTAGCTGTCTGTTCTGCTGGTCATGTGTCTACTCTAAAAATACGCTACACCAGGTCAGCAAGGGCAGTGAAGTCACCAGCTATTTCCTCTTTTGGATTACCTATTGATTACAGTCTGGAAAACCACATGGTTTGAGTCATTGGTTCAATAACTTTGGATTGATTCATGAGAATATGGTGCAATAACAAAACGTGGCAGAGACTTTAAGACCTTATGACCTCATTGTTGTTATAATTTTCTGAGCAATGTGAATTACTTTTACTATTACTTTTCAAATAAATGCAAAGGTTTTCTTAACTTTAAACAGTGATGTACTAATAATTTAGATATATTTTTAAACACTCACTCTGTCTTACTTTTTTTGAACTGCAGGTAGTACCTAAATTATTAATCATTATTTTTTGTCTCAAAGGCTATTTTAACAGCTAAAAGCTCTGAGTGCTGATGAATGCTGACATCACAAGAAATGGTTAAATTTGTGAGGTATGGTATTATTCCCAAGATAGTTTTCAACATTTTTTATACTTTGATCCTTCTACTCAGCATTTTTGCAAAGAAAAGGATCACAATCTAAAAAGAGTTCTGTTTAATATGTAAAAGTATTGCAAAATGACAAAGAAGGAATAATCATTAGGAATAATTTGAAAAGCTAGGTGATAATTTTGAAAATATGGATCTTTTTTTTAAAAAAAAAAAAGCTAGGCTAGAAATGTCATGCACGTTTCACCACAGATTTCAGCACTGATCAGTGCATCAATATAAGCTGCCAACTGGGGTGTGAACTCACTCTCATCTGAGCCGCGAAAGGCCTCTCGAGGCTGCAGGCAGGCGTCGATGCGTCTGAAGTGACGAAAGAGCGGACGCACCTGTTTCTTCCGACTCTCCTTGTCCTCCTCCGCACTGGAGACAGAAAACAAAGAAAAAGCAGGTCAGTTAGGCAGAGTGTGCCCGATATGAGGGAACACAACAACGCAGGGTCGACAAGAGTGAACTATATGCAGTGCACAGTGGAATACATCCTGGGTCAAACAGCTTTATGAAGAATTACATAAGAAATAACAGAAAATAACATGCAAACATTCCCTTAAATATAAAACACCACACAAACATTAAACCTGAAGTGTTTCAGATACTTTCGTCAGGAGTTGCAGGTGAAATTCTTGCTGTCTCACAGTGTTTGACTGTTTTTAATTCACACCCTTTTCTTGTTTTTTCAAACAGTAGCATCTATGAGTTTCAACTCAAATTAAAAAAATAAAGGATTTACAGGCTTCATTAGATGGCGGAGGGGATTTAATGACTCAGTCAAAGCAAAATCACTTAAGGAAAGCAATCGCCGGATGCAATGATTTCCCCAATTAGCCACTTCACAGAGCCGTGGCTTTGCACTTCATAATGGGCTACAATATGTCCCCTGTTATTGGATTTATAGCTCGCTACCATTTTCTATTGAAAGGACTCAGGGACGTATGGGGAAGTGTTCTCTTTTTAGTTCTCTTTAGAACCTCGGCATGGCCTGGGGAAAGCCCATAAAGCTGGATTCAGGAGTTAACAAGCTAAATTTGTTTTTGGGTTTTGACTAAATTCATGCTGTCGTATGTGTGCCTGGTGGAATGATGCTTCATCTGCTGCTCTACTCAGAAGAACAGAAGCGATATGACAAGGCAACTCACGGGTTATGAAGGATCTCGGTCCAGCGCTGGAGCTTTAGGACATCCTCTACTAGCTCAGGGAAGCGGCTGAGCTCTTGCACAGCACACAGATACAGGTCCTGTATCAAGAGTAAGCAAGATTAAGAAAACAAATCACTCGTATAAAACACAGAGCAACCAAAACACTTCGCACAAAAAATACGTCTCCCTCATTGAAAACAAAAGAAAAAAGATTACTGAAGATTACTTTAATGGGTGTGGATTACCTGCACAGAAAAGAATGCAATCTATATGTTTGCTGGAGGAGAGGTAGACTGGGAAATGCTGGCCAAAACAATTACTGCCTAAGATAGGTACTGCTTAGTCAGTTCCGTTACCATAGCAACCCTAATAGACTCCCGCCAGCATCAACACTTGAAACCTCTAGAATGCTCTTCTGTTGGATGTGTGTTTGTGCATGTACCTTGGGGAAGCTGTTGGACCTGTCCCCCTCCTCCTGGAGCAGTTCTCTGTATGTGTCCAGGTAGCGGAAGGCCACACTCAGCACGGCCTGCTTCCTCTCCACTCCATCCCAGCTGGGCCAGCCTTCGCCCTGCCTGCCCTCCGTACCAAATCTGAGTGCAGTGTCAAGGAACACAACACTCGAGTACAGCATAACCTGTGCTATTTCGCACTGTATATGAATATAAACTCACCCAGTGATTAACATTTTAGGATTTCATACTCTATACCACATAAAACCTGCATCTTCCTTTTGATATTAATTATTTTTAGAGATGCACAATGGCATTAGAATGATCTCTGTACTGCATAAATTTAGATTTGACCAATATTTTAAATCAATACTTGCTGAAGTATTTGTTGTGCCAGAAGAGCAAAATGATTAGGTGATGTTGAGCTCATATGCTAAATATATATGCATTTTATTCATTTTACTGCATTTGTAAACCTATAGAAATCAATCCAACATTAATCTGTAATGCTATTCCACACAGAGTAGTCCTAATTTTTACATTTTATGTGTCGGCATCGGCAGATATGCGCATAAAATATTATTAAGATATTGGCATCAGCCCACAAATCCCATACTATCCCTAATCCCTAATTATTTCTCGCTCATATCTCATTTAAGTAAGCAAAGAAATTTGGTTGAAAATGCGGATTTAAGGCATTCATTCATTCATTCATTTATACCACATTGGTCTGCAAGTAGAAAACATTTTACTGTGATTTGAATTTGATGAAAAGTAATTTTCATGCACACAGTCTTGTTTTACCATGTGTTGCAGTTTTTTGATGTAAATCACTTAAGGGAACGTGGACTTGCACTGTACTGGAATGCTGCTACACCTAAACCAAAATGTCATAGCATAATTATGCATGACTCATTGTGCTAAATTTCCAGTTGCCTCTTGCATTTGATGCAGCACTTTATTTGACTGTTATTTAAATAGACAACTAATGTTTCATTTAAGAATTTAAAATGCCAGTGTGCCCCATTAAAGAGCAAATAATATATTTATTTTGCAACTTTGGCTAACAGAAAGTACTGCACTGTTCATTTAGCCCACACAGTGTGAACTTCAGGTTAAAAAAAACAGACAAAAAATCGTCCATCGTCCATTTTGGCTGTAAAAAAAAGGTCATTAGAATAAACATTCTTGATTAATGCATGTCTAATAAACAGTGATAATTCTCCACTTCTAAGGGTTAATTAGCTGTTTAATGGGATCAGGTGTGTTAGAGCAGGCAAAACATGAAAATACGCAGGACCAGCTTGAAGCATCTGATTAGAGGATGTACATGTAAGAATAGACAGAACACAGCGATCAGCATGTGCCTGTAGGTACCTGAATCTCAAATTTGTATGTGTTTGCCAACACATACACACTCACATGGGCACAGTCACTCACAAACAGGATCCAGCTGGTTTCTGATCACCTAACACAGATGCAAAGATGGAAAAACACAAACAGTAACATGTGGCCAGTCAGCCAACATAATTACAACCTCTAAGAAGTGGTGAAGCCAAAGGAACACACCCAGCACGTCCACACACAAACACGCTCATACACACACACACACTCATTCCCTCCTCTTGTGTAGTTTGTTATTAACTGAGCTTTGCTATGGAACTGTGCAGGACTCATTGCTCAACAGATGAAATGTTTTAAACAGCAAACCATACATTCCTACTGTATTTCCCCAAAGGCTTTCACACAAACTTTTCCAAGGTCAAGCGGTTACAATGTTCTAGGACAGTTACTATTGATTATATCTGTAATCCGGTGATTTACACCTTATTTTGACAATTTAAAATTGAGAGGTTTACAAAAGGGCCAAACAATAAAAATGGCCATAACTAAGCAATAACAAACCTTGCACAGGCTTTCACAAAAGCCAAAGAAATAAGGGTAAAATAACTGAAATTTGGGAGGAAGACCAATAGACCAAAACAATAAGTGTCCAGGTAGAGCACATTACACTGATCCCTAGATTCACATATGTCTACTGCCACGTAGATACACATACAATCTATGTTTTCTCAATATTCATGCAACAGGGAAGTAAATTGAGGCAAGGCTGAAGTTTACAAGTCCTGTTTCTCTCCAGCTCTGCTCTTCAGATCTATTTAAAGAATCCCTCCCTAACACCCCGTCCGCATTTAAAAGCACTATTCTTGTTCTAAATGGCCAGCCAGTGCACATGCACGAGCTGCCTTTGATGACATTCCACATCTAGTAACTCTATATTCACGGCCGCTGTAACTTCTGTGTTAGAATCCAAACATGAGCCCGAGCCAACGGGCAGTTGCTGCGCTGCAATAGTGCTGGGGCTAGCCATGTTTACTGCCAGCCTCGGCCTCCACGAAAGTCTGGAGCAAGCCAGCTCACTGTTACAGAGCACTGAGCCTATGGGCTTTGATCTCTCAGTCATTCACTGTAGAAGAGAGAGAGAGAGAGAGAGAGAGAGAGAGAGAGAGAGAATGTATGTGTGTGTGTGTGTGTGTGTTGAGCTGACAGAGCCATCAGTGCTAAGTAAAAGAGAGGGGTTCTTTTTTATATATCTAATCCAATCAGAGGTGGCTGGAGGAAAGTGGGCCGAGGGGTTTTCCCTTTGTCTTCGGCCGCAGCAGGAAGCAGACGTGTTCTCACAACAAAAGGATCTGATTAGTGCTGGATTAGGGCCAGCAGCCACCGACCTGGAGAGAGGCGTGGACGAGGTGAGATAAGAGGGACAGAAAAGGAGCGAGAGAGAAAAGAGATGGGAGACACACCACAAAGTAATGCACTGAATTTCCTTGATCCAGTTGTGTACATCACTTTCACATGAATATCTGAATATATGACATCAACACAATTTGGTCATGCAGTTTACTTATTTTGAGCAATAACTGTCAAGTAAATTCAATGCATTACTTTTTTTTCAGTGAACGCAATGATGGCACTCACGGAAGCTTACTGATTAGTGGTGTAAATCTCTGACCACACTAATCTTCAGGCAATTATTTAAGGCATCAATTCAGTTTGATTATTTTTGGATGATTCAATATTATCTATAAAAATACACTACATACACAAAAGTGACTCAAGGAACTATTTATAAAGTAATGGGTCTAGAGGTGGGTGATATAGCAAAAATTTCATATCATGATACTTAAATATATTTTCACGATACACAATATGCATCACAATATTTTGACACGTGGACACAATGCACAATGCCACATTTAAAAGCTTGGGTGCAATGAGTTTTATTCAATATTTCACATACTGTACTTGAAACGTGTAATGAAACGTGGTTTCTTTTCATAGTGTTCTTTAAGTACAGACAATATCCATGATTAAAAAAAAGGTGTTAAATAGTAAATAATGCCATTACAATGAGGCTATTACTGCAGCAGCTAAAGAGTACCTAACAAAATAACCTAGATAAGATGATGTCGAGGAGGTGGACCAGCACACCCGGGGGGACCACCACTGTCACCAAAACGTTCTTCTTATTAACGCCTTATTAAAGTTTTTACTAAACAATTCCTCTTTCAAAACAATATCTGAAGGGATTTAAGTACAATGTAAATACAATGTATATACATGTTTCTAAATTAAATTTAATTTAATTTTGGCCAAAAAAGTGCATACTTGAATACTATTAAAATATCATAATAGATTATAATCTATCATGCACCTTCAGATGCATTTTTACACCCCTCTCTCTGAAGTCATGATTGCAGCACAAACATTACCCCCTCCCTTACACACACACACACACACACACACGCATGCATGCATACGCACTCACACTGAGGGTACTGTGAAAAGACGGGGTGCAGACACGCCGCATTAGGAGCAGCGAGGCATGCAGGCCTCCCCAGGCACAGCTTTGTGCTGTGAGAGCAGACGAGCCCCCAGACACACTGTAGCTTACACTGAGGCTTCACTGTTGAGACCCCTCACACTGAGAATGTAGGTCATGCAGAGAGAGCGGGGGCACTGAGTACATTACTAAGGGGTGTCCTCTGTTCATGCACACAAACAAACCCCAAAAGTTAACCCTCCTAGGTCCCCCATGGCGCAAACGCCTTTAAACCTCTCCTTCCACATTTAATTAGATCCCTTATGTAGCTCACTGAAACAAACGGAGAAGGTGCAGACTCTAAACTTTCAGTCTGTGTCATGTTTGTCTTTGTAAGTAGAAGACGAGATTACAACTTGAGTTTGATAAAAAGTTTGACTGTTGTGCATACAGGTTTGTTTTGTGGAAAAAAATGACTTTTTTGCCATTTTTCAAATCGAAACGGAATTAAAAAATAAGTGAAGTACAGACTCTAGCCTATCAATACAGAATGTAAATAAGAATAAATTAGGCTTCAGCAGTAGTATCCTGAACCGCCATCTATAACTGGCAATCTAGACAATCAAGACAATCGAGTTGAACAAATTAAAAGTGAGAAAACATGCTGTCCAAAGCTTTAAAATGCACTGAAGTAATCATATTTGCCCTGAATCTTATATTACTTGTAGTGTGTTTTCTTTTCATGTGTAGTTCATGTCCGCTGTGTGGCCTTTTTGACCGTGGACATGTTTGCATATGGTAAACAACAGATAAAGCTGTGCTTTTGATTTTGACATTGTGGTTACAGCGAAAGCTCAGTATGGTTATTAATCGCCTAAAACTAATTAAAGGTTACAATAACAATAAAGGAAAGCTACAATAATGGTATTGTACAATAAAGGCTTTACAGTAAGCTTTAGCCATTTATTTTTAAAAAAGAAGCAATTTATACTGGCTGTATACATGTAATTTATTAAGTCTATAGCAGAAAAATTAAACCATACAAAAAACTACCCATGTCTTGGTGAAACGGGTTATTGAAGAAAAAAGCCGCGGAAAAAGACCCCCCCAAAACTTTCGTTAACCACCAATGGCTATAGGCTGCAATCAGACGACAGTGTATTGTACACAATCTCACAAGCCTAGTGAAAATGTAATGCAATTAACTGTAATTATTTATGTAATAATGTAATTACATTTAAAAAGCAAAATGACAGGACATAACACTAGACTTGTAAGGGTTAACGAAACACACCCAACAATGGAGCGTTGTCATCAGAATTTTGGGAACTGTCATATATACCCAGCCTCTGTGCTCACACAAAGAAGTGATATTTAAAACGCAGCCTGCCAGGGGTAGACGAACACTTCGGGAGGAGACTACATAGACTAAGAGCACAAAAAAGCTGTTCTGCTATTGGAATGGGTGTTGGCTCCATTTTTGGCTGAAAAGCCTGTGTTTTTCTAGCCAGTGTTTTGAAGATTCACAACTGCTGCTTTAGACGCTGTTCCCTAAATGTTTAGATAATTCTGAGCCAAAGCCTTTTTTTTCAAATATTATAACACCCACCACTAAAATTGAAAATGCTGGCCATAATAATGTAACTCTACATGCAACAACACAAATAAACCAAACCTGTTGCTGCTAGCCAATCACCAAAATGCTCCTCAACTAACAAACATACAGAGGTTTTCTGTGGGTATTTCCACGGTTACACAACCTGGTTGCTAAGTGTGCCAGAAACATGGTTGATGTTTGGCACTGCATGAAGGATACTGCTGAAGTAGAACCTGCTGAAACTTGTCGGATGCCAGGAAGATAGGGTGTGTCAACATGAAGTCATCCAGGAGAATTTCTGCAGAGGGAAAAAGAGAGAGAGAATTAGTAATCTCAGTACATGTGAAAAAAATGCCAGTGCAATATAGCATGCCTGAGAAGTTAAGGACTTGCAGGTGAAAACAGAAGTTGTAAGCCTACAGCAAAGTTCTTAAAGGCATTATTAATCATCATATGCACACTGGACTTGCCAGACCGGTCACGAACCCAAACATCTCTCCATGAAATGTAGTTGGTGTTCACCAACTGTCATGTTTTGTTTTTGAATCTCAAGCATTCCCATATTTTAACCAGCCCCAGCAAGCTCACATATATTAATTAAAGTATTCATATTTACCTTTGTAACTATCACTGGTCCTCTACAAAATAAAAAAAGGCTTTTAAGCTGTCACACATTTTACAGTGTGCCTAAAGAAAGATCTAGTTCATCAAAGAATATTTTTCACTGTTGCTGAGAGGTCAAGCTTATGCCTATGCATCTGGGTTAGAGGGATCTATAGCATATTAATCATTAATAAAAAAAGAATACGACTCTGACACTTATAAAGAACCAAAAAGGCAGCCTAAAAATGAACACATCAGCTCCTGAAAAAGTAGGTCAGGAGAGCAGACCCCTTCACAGAGTATGCAAAAAACAAAGCGCTCATGAAAATGACTAGGATGGAATGAGCTCGAGTCTATTACCCACAGAGCAATGCACCATTAGACAGTCAACATTCAACTAAAACAGAAAACATCCAGCCCCAGTGACCCCACATCAGACTAAATCATGCTAGGCACTCATTAAAATTGCCAGTTCATAATCAGTCAGTGAATACATTCCACTAATTAAGTGACTTCTCATAAATGTTAGAGCAGCAAAACAAACACGCAATACCTTGCTAAAATTAAAGATGACTACTCGTACTGTGCTACTGGGCGTCACGTCTTGGCTCTTTTTTTGTCTGTATGGTTTGTCTTTTGCAGTTTTTGTTTGTGTCAGGTTTAGTCTGACATTGAGTAACCAGCCAGATCCCAAATCCGTGCTAAACGGAAATACAACACAGTTCTTGTCAACATAAAGCGTCAAAGCTGACCCCAGATCAGCACTCGCTGTAGGTGTAGTGGGGAGAAGGACAGAAGAGCATCAGACGTTCCTGACTGGTCCAGGCTTGCCTTTTTTCTTTTGACGTCAAAAGGCTTCAGCTGTGCAGGTGAAAGGACACCAGTGAACAGTTAAACCCAGGAATAAAAGAGACAAAAGGATTAAGAGCTCCGTAAAAGGGGGCTAAACACACGGATTCAGTAAGCAAGGGGAAAAGAATGAACCTGTGCATTCTACATTTTTTTCCTGGAAGACTGAATACAAAAGTACTCAACATTCAAATTCATCTCAGCGTAAAGTGAACGAGTCCTGTTTTTCACATTCCTATTTTGTGTATGCTTGTATATCTGGGTACCCAAGCATACTGTAAATGTGTGTGTGTGTGTGCCACGGAGGGCGTGTCAGCTGGGGCCCTGTCCACATCTTCGCAGCTGCAAATTTCCCATGGTTGCCAAGGCAACGTTGCCTTAAGTGGCTGCGGGGTGACAGAGACAGAGAAAGCGAGAGCAAGAGAGAGAGTGTGTGAGAGAGAGAGAGAGAGAGAGAGACAGAGAGAGAGAGAAAGTGTGTGTGAGAGAGAAAGAGAGAGAGAGAGAGAGAGCAAACAAGCAAGAAAGAAGTAGAGAAAAGAAAGAAAGAACACACTAAAGAAAGAGAGAGGGAGAGATACAGAGCAAATCAAAGTGGTACACACCACAGAAAAGCAAATGGGATGCAAAGTTACAAGGACTCTCTCCCAAGTCAGTAGAAAATAGAAACAGAGTGGGTGTGAATGACAGGAACAGAGTGAGTGAGGAGGAGCGAATGAGGTTAATTACCACCTCTGATAGTCTCTTGTCCCTCAGAGTTGTGTGTGTGTGTTTGTGTGTGTGTGTGTGTGTGTGTGAAACCACACACTCCCTGTAGTCCTAATTTAAACCTATCACTAGTGTTACAGTCTACTACAATATTAATGACATTACATACAAGATACAAACTCCTATTCAACACACAGTACAAAAACTACCTCTACATGAGTGTGTGTGTCTTTCAGGGACATTTCTGGTCTTTCTTACCAGCCAAACTCAGGCTGGCTAAGAAAATGTGGAAGGCAGGGGTGCACTGGGTGATTGGAACTGGAAGATGTGCATGATCGGCAGATCGGAATAGGGATGTGCACAGGCACTCAAGTACTCAGTTAACCATCCGAGGTGCCTGTGTTCGAATACTGAAAGCTGTATACAGGTATGTAATACGTCTCAGCACAGGAAGACAGAGAAAATATAGAAACGTATGCTTTTACGTTTTAACAGAACTATAAATTGTGTTTGTGAGTAATCACCAATCCGAAACACAAGTGACTAAATGTGAACGCTGCCAAGGACACGGTATTAAGGACATGACTGAGAAGGCAGAGAAAGCGCTGCTTTATCTATAGGATAAGTAGTCTAGCTGATGTTAACTATGTCCAGAAACAGTGGAAATGTATTTCTTTGACAAACTAACCTGTTGACACATTGTCCACTGAGGAGACAAGTTCTTGTGTAAGTCCTTGTGCATCCAGCAGTGTACCAGTTAGCTGCAGTTTTAGCTCACATCTGAAGAGGTAGCATCCTTTTCATCCAAACAAAACGTTTTCCCTTGGCTTTTGTCAATTAAAACACATTTTCAAATGTTTTTCTCTTACCACCAGTAAGTAATACCACCTAAAAGAGTAAGCCTCCAGCTCAAACCCTACATATATTTCACAAAAAGGTCCTTTTATTCTGGTCTTTTTTCACAGTTAACAGGATATTGAACATCAAAATTATTTGGAATGCGCATCCCTAGACTGGAATCTGCAGATTTTTGCTTCAACTGGCAATCGGCCATTTTATTGTTTTATTTTGTCCGATTTAATAACGTGAGCCAGGTAAGTGCACTCACCCTGTATTGGAATTAGGCCTGTCAAAAAACACATTAATGATTTATTGATTTATTTCATGCAAACAACAAGAAAACAGTAAGATTCCCACAAATTAACATATTTGAATGTTTAAAGACTTTAGGTGAATTGACATTTTACATTAATACCACATTTATTGTATCTAGCACAGATGAGAAATGTGACTTTTGAGCTGCACTGGTTGAACACACTGCAGGCAGACATGATGCTTTTACAAAAAGCCATCTCTATGATACAATGTACATTCTCAGACCACAGCATCAGGCTTCAGACATCAGAAAAAACAGCTTCAGTTCTCGGGAAAAACACAAGCAATATCATCTCTCAGCTGTCGTACATAAAGAAAAACAGGCCGTTTCAAACAGCCTCAGGTAAAAAGAATTTAAAATAAAAGGCATCAAGCTAAGGGGCCTCGGACAGCAAAAAAGTTGCGTAATATTATTAAGTCTTTATTACTAGACTACAGGTTTGTGGCCAAATTAAACAAGACAACAGATTTTAACTTTTACTGAACTTTTACTTTTTGAACTTTTACTGTATTTTTGCCACAAAGATCAGGCTTTCACTGTGTTTCCTCCCATGCCCACTGCAGTGCTAGGTACGGTCTCAAAATTACTAGAAGAAAACCTGTTGGTTATTTTTCACACATTTTCATTTATCCAAAAATGTGGACTCTGTTACCGGCCTAAACTTAAATTGAATGCTGCTGCTGCTAAATAGCAAGTCGCCCCCTGCTTTTGATGTATCATTTTATTTGACAGGCAACTGATTTTCTCATTTAAGACCTGTAAATGCCAGTTTGACATATAACAGACCAAATAATGTTATTTCTTGCAAATTTGGCTAATAAAAATACTCAAATGTGGTAGTGTGTTCCACAAAATGTTATCTTTGAGCTTAATAAAAAAAGGCTACTATAAATTAGCTAAAAAATCATCCAAAATCAAGACAATTCGGTTATAAAGAAATCAGTACATCCTTGATGAAGGGGTCTAGCACAGACGTTAATATTAATGGAGGGCTCCCACTCTACTACTGAAAGTTTAAACAATAATAAAAAATAAAGTAATGTATACACTGAATAGCATGTCTCTACTTTAAAAAAAGTTAAATGCAGTTGTATATGTCTCTCAAGACAAACTCAAGTATCTCTGATTGAATGATAAAAATGAACCTTCCGATGTAAGGTTAGAACGAAGTAGTCTCCAAGACATAAGAAATGAAACCTTTCTGCCTCCCTCTCTGTGAAAAACCTTTTTACTGCCCCCGCACTCTCCATCTCCGCCTTTCATCCATCTCTCTCCTTCTGCCCACCAGTTCACATTAAAATGGAGCTTTAAGTGCACTGAATCTCTTGCCCAGTTTGGCACAAAGCCCATCTTTTTAGGTTTCAGAAACGAGAGAGAAGTGCAAATCCAGCCCCCCACTGTTCACTTCACACATAGATATCACCATTCTGCAAACACAACCAAAACTAGCACCTAGCGTGCACATCTGTATGTGCATTTGGAGGCAGACGTATGCATGTACATGTGCTGTGACATTTAAAGCACATGAAATCCACATTCAGAAGGGCTAAAACAGATTTTTAGAGTGTAGAAAAAAACAACACTTCTTCTTTTTCTTCTGGTCAAATAATCATGGCCAACACACAGCACCACAAGCAAGCTACCCGGAGATAGAACAGGGAAGGGAAAAGCGTCTGAAGGCCATCTTCATGAACTTTGGAATAGACCAAGAACACAGCCTTGATGCACTTCAAACCATAACCTCCTACATACCAGTCTATTTTACAGCCTCAAGGCTAAGGCGAGAGGTGTTCTTCTTATGAAGAGGTGCACCAAGTGATGTCATAAATATATGTGTGGGTGGCAGAGTAGGGGGTGAAGGTGTTTTTATCATGCTTCACCAGCAATGTCTATCTGACCCTCCTCTCATACTGGAGGTCAGAGAGTTCACCTGTTTAAAATCGGAAAACAAAGACCCCCCACTCACACATTTATGGTAAATT